TGAGCCGTGAGGGCATCTGCAAATGAACCAGCCGTTACACGTGAGTGCACACCCACCCGCTCTGACTGGGTTCGGTATCCCGGCTGCTTCGTTTCTTGGGAAGTAAACCCAAGTACACAATATTGCACTTTTGATTTGCGATTGTACGCTTATAATTTTTGTTTATATGTTTTTTCATAACCAGCAATGTATATTATATGTCATGAATAAGTGATAATTGTGTTTTAATTATGTTTGATTTTTTGGTTGCATGTGACCTTTAAGAAACCGCTATCAGTGCGACATTACTTTTTTTGTGGTTCAGTATATGTTGTAAAATTAATGTTTAAAGCAGTAATGTTTAAAGTTCAGTTCACGGAGCTTGTGAAAGCCATATTTCTTCAAAACCACGAGAAAACAGTTTTGTCTTGTTTGTCGCCCATTTAGTTTTACCATTACTGTGTCATGCAAGACTAGCATATAGTAACATTTCTTCGTACCAGGATATGCACTGAAGCATTCCACAGAACAGGAACATTATTAAGTTTGGTAGTAGTACAGGACTGTACTTACCTTGACGGCATTGTACCACGTCATGAGTGTCCAATATTTTGCCGAACCGAATGACATGCTCAAAATAATGGCATTCCATTTTATCTAAGAGGAAAATAAATATTAAGAGATAGGTCCTGGTTTTTTTATTGACCAATTTTTTTTAAAATCGATCTTATGTGTATTGTCTGTCAACGCAATAAGATCGACATATTCCACTCAACCGACATAGTAAGTTAGATGTAACAATTTATTGATGGTATTTTCCAATACTTTTATAGGTGCTTAACACAGATGAGAGTTAAAGAAGTTGTTTTTCACTGAACATCATAAACAACAGATCCATCACACAGATACCGCATCGACGGTAGTGTTGTAAATAATGTAGAGCTGAGGGTGTGTTTGGTCCCGTTGGTGTGTTAGATCAAATCAGGTAAACGATGGTGCTTGTTGTTATTCTGCCTAGTGATGGGCATTAAGTGGATAAACTGTGGCATGATATCCCATTGGACTGCCACAATGTAACTGGCTTGACTGATCCAAGCAAACATACAGACATTGCTACACTGTTATGAAGCAGTTGTTACGCTGTGCAAATGTGTTTCAACAAAGTACATGTAATATTCAGTGAGAGACAGTGGTGTGCCATTTTTAGACCTGTGCTACAACCTTATAGGCATCTCCAGTGACCCAGAGGCAGTGTAGAATTATTTGGGAAGATCTAGAAGGAACTTAGATATATAATGAGAGTTATCTATTGCTGCCATTTCACATTAATGTAATTACATCTCAAGTTGCCTTCGTTTACACTGCAGCTGAGAGGTGAATATTACAATGATTGTTTTCATTGCTATAATCAATGCTCTTGTAGTAAACTGCCACAAAAGTGTGCGCTGCCATAGTGATACCATGAATTGATCTGTAACTTGTTAACTTTGTTAAAGTTACAATAGCATTGGTAATTACGTCACATTTCTTTGTTGATTTCACACCTAGATCTATTATAGACTGATTCGTGATTAACCTTCCAGTATTAGCTTGGGAATCAACATAACATGAAATACATACATGCATGAACGTCGCTGGAGAGGTGGAAGTACCTTGACAAACTGCTGGGTGTATAATGTGTATGTGGGGGATATCCATGTCATAATAATTATAATTATAATAATTCTGATTTAATTAGCACTTTAATATTGTTCTAAATCCACACCGACAGCATGCTCATTGCGCAGACAGTTCATTAATACCCCGGATAACACTAGCTGTCTGTGAAGCGCGAGAAGTTTATAGTCACATGACTTATCCCACCGGGTACCCATTTTGTGCTGGGTGAACAGAGGCAATTTTTTTAAAGAAACTCACTTGTCTATGTGAGACCACACGTGCTTCGTGACATGGTAAACTGTGACATAGTATCTCTGTGAACTAGCACTATGGAAGTGCAAAAGATCCTGACTTACAGTAACAACACACTAATGTCCATGCTGGTCGCTATATGAGGAGGAGGGAGAAAAATAATTGCAGCATCAAAGCATAGACTCAAGAACGGAATTTTGAACTATGACAACTAAGATATGATTTGTTATCAGGCATTCACGAACATTTTTTTGGTGGTGTTTGCTTGGGGTCTTGAGAATAATATTTATTGAATTCTACAAATTGCACATTTTATTGATCAATTATTGATAATAATCTTGCATGTGATCAATTAACATTAAAGTGATTGTATCTTGCCAAAGAAATGTCATCATGCACAGCAAATATACTAAATGAGAGATGAATCGTTAAAACCATTTATGCTTTTATCGACTTCGGCATGTGATGCGGTGCAAAATTATTCGCTGTAATTTTCAGCATTTGTGATTGTACTTGATCACTTAGCGACCTTCAAGTTTGTCTATCCACTGGAGCAGAGACACTACTGACGACATAGCAAAACAGTTTGTTCAGTTAACACATTTTTTCTGTGACCATGCTTACCCACGTAACAATCTGTTAAAAGATTTAATTATTGCGCAGTTCCTTCAAAGTGACGCGAATTTAATTGAATTTATCGGTCAACCCTCGTGTGTCAGTTTGGATGATAGGTGGCCCAGTTGTCGAAATACGAATCACCTCAAAAGCGTGCACCAGTCTTGAATATTAAAAACCCCAGATTCCATTGGAATGCTGGAGACATTTTAAAAATGGACGATAAATTGAATAAACTTCGTTAGTGTATGATCGTGTATTTAGGTCGTCGTTCCTCTGTCCAAATCAGCCCTGAACAGTTGTCTAGGTTTGTCAGTTCCAAAATGGTTCTCCAAAGTGGTAAACGTCCAAGACTTGCGTAACTTCGGGCTTTTCTCCCACATCAGTCTGACACGCTGTGATAAAACTGTAATACGTACAGCGGCGCTATATCCAGTTCATCGAAGCACACATATACCATGTACATTTGAAACGCTGTGAACACGAGACAATAGTCAGTATCAATTATGTCCCTAGGTCTTAGTCATACGCCTACTAGTCCTACTCACACTAGTCATACGCCCATTAGTCCTACTCACACTAGTCATACGCCCATTAGTCCTACTCCCACTAGCCATACGCCCATTAGTCCTACTCCCACTAGTCATACGCCCATTAGTCCTGCTCTCACTAGTCATACGTCCATTGGTCCTCCTCCCACTAGTCATACACCCATGAGCCCTGCTCCCACTAGTCATACGTTCATTAGTCCTACTCCCACTAGTCATACAGCAAATGAGGGATTAAGTAAAACAACAACAGGCATATACCCTTTGCGCAAAATGGACTAGTCCGCTAAATTAGGGGCTAATTAAAGAGCTTGACGTAAGTTTAATCTCTAACACTGAGAATGCCACAGTCTTTGGTAATGAAATCATATAAACGAATGTTATTGAAGTAAATTACATTGAAGTTATATGAACATAATACACCATAACCGTTATTAATCAAAAAATTTAAATCAATGTTTGACTCTAGCATATGACTCTTGTTATTACGGCAGGACTGCTTGAAGTGGAATACGTTACCTCTAGGCGAGGTACACAACAGGTACTGTTTCAAGGAAACCGTGACAACAAAATTCTACAAAGGAACACTGTATCCACTGGAAGTGTGTTGTGAAGACTTGCCGGGGTAGAGTTACTATAGTTGGAAACCATGTCAGGAACTCCACTCCAACCATGGCCCACAAGAACCTGACACGGTGAGATTCATCAGCAACATGAGGAAGAGGGCCAGAGAAGAGATTATCCCAATGCCAACCCTGTATCAGGAAGCAGTTGCCCAAGAAGACCCTGACGTGGTTCGTCATCTACCATCCTATGCCAGCCTTAGCAGTGCCCTCTACAGACATAGGAGACACACCATTGCAGCACTCCCCAGACAAGAGGTGATGTGGAACTTGAGGGAAAGTGGACCGAGACAGCTGATGGCAACCTTACCTGTTGTTTGCAGATGGTGAAGACAACGAAAAGATGTTAGTCTTTTCCTCTTTGGATCAGCTGACTGATTTGCAGTCAGCAGATTACCTGTACATGGATGGTTTCATCATGTCCAGCCCTTAGGAATCAGGTTTATATCATTTATGCCAGTAGAGGTTCGGAGACATACCCTTGGTGTTTGCCCTTCTTCCCAATCGCCAGAGAACAACCTACTGCCGGCTTTTCCACAGGCTGAAGGAAGAAGTACAGCAGAAACTCAACAGAATCCTTGTAGCTATCGGGACTGAATTTCCTGCAGCCAAAGTGACAGTATGCTACTTTCACTTCAGCCAAGCCATGTGGAGGAAAGTACAAGACCTGGGGCCTGCTGTCCGTGCTGATACTGTTTAAGTGTAGAGATTATGTATATTATCAGATCACAGAATAAGATCAGATTATGTATGTTTACTATGCTCAAGATCAGATTATGTATGTATACTACGCTCAAGATCAGATTATGCATGTATACCATGCTGAAAACAGATTATTAAAGTTCACTGATGTGAAGCTGTATTTTGTTTCTTGGATCATTCAACTTTATTTTTACAAAGGTATTACAAAGTTAGTTGTTGGTGCAGTCAATCATACTATATGTTGCTTTAACCCGTATGACTAGTGGGACGTATGACTAGTGGGAGGACACTGTTGTCATTGTTGCATCCCATGGCCATGTCAGGAGCTTCCATCTGTTGGTTCCTATCCATGATCCAGCCCAAACATGACCCTTGGTAATAGTTTCGCTTAAGTAAAAGATCTATGTTACACCGGAATGTCCACTGCACGAGCTGATACGTAAACGCCACGATAACACTAAACTATTCTCAGACTTCAAAGCCATATTGCGTAGGACCACTCAAATCAGTTCCAGCTCCGAACTTCTTTGAAATGTACGTTTATAGAGAAAATTAAAATTAAAAAAATATAATATGATAAAAATACATGAAGGTTTGAATAAGAAAAGTTTTTATCTTTGCGTCAGAAGGAAATGCATACTATGCAAGGTATATTTTTTGCTATATATCGTTTTATCCAATTTCGACGATAGGCTGATGTGGTTGCGATGCGTCACATCGTGGATAGCCATTGTCCCATACTGCGTGGTATTGGTCGAAACTGACACACGTGATCACGGACGGACCAATCAGATGATAGCCTGCGTGACATCTGAACTGGAATGTGTCTCCAACATACGTAGAAGATCCGGTCATGGCGCCGTTGATAGGTTCTACAGGTCGGGCACACATGTTATCTGATCAGAAAAATTAAAATAACATGTCATGATGCTGTCTACAACACAACAAAATATATCTTAAAATATATACTTTAAATGCCAGAAAAGAGGCTATCGAATAGACTCTTAGCACCGAAGACTTGATTTCAACTTTTGTGTGATGCCTAACTGCGATTCTGCCATTTCCTGCTGTGAGGATGATTGGCCTATTGCAAAAGACCTGCTCATTCACTGTTACTTCATTAACACTTTCAACATCTGTGATGACGAATAACGCTGTAGTCTAAATGGAAAATAGTGCCACAGCACCTGGATATGTAATCATTTTACAAAGGAACAAACGTGAATATAACTATTAACTGAGGAACAAATTATCACGTACAGGTATCAGGCGTTTACCATTTGTGCGTAATCCACCAATACATGTACTGAGATGACAAATCTAGAAACACACTGAATCAACCAGGATTCGAACCCACGACGACATGTTTCTGGGACATCCCAAAATGCGACACTGCACATAAAACGACTGAGACACTTGTATCGTCTACCCCTTCCCCCACTATTTCCCTAATCCATAATAAATAGACACCGACCATCTGAGATAAAGTCCTTATAAAAATAGAAAAAAACACCTTCTGTAAGTTGAATGGATTTCCACAGCCAGAAGCTTGTAGCCTGTACTTGCCACTGAATGCTTGGATTGGTACGCGTTGATAATTTGTTTAAGTTGCTTTTTTTATTAAACATTCGTTCGTTGTCTATAATTTGAAAATGTATCTTCGGCACTAACTGTTTTGGTTCATTTTCAGTGATTCCACTCAGGTTTTTACATATTCATGGACACCTTTTCACTACTTGTTCCCTATTAACAACCAAAACTTTTAAACTGTTCAACTTACTCACGGCGATGACGAATAACGCTGTAGTCTAAATGGAAAATAGTGCCACAGCACCTGGATATGTAATCAACATTACAAACGCCAGTGAGTACAGTCGCTTAACAACAGTTATTGATGCACTTTTCATATTCAGCATTTCAAAATAGGTTTTCAATATCGTAGCTAACGATCCATTACTTGTTTGTCAATATGGCCATTACCTATTTCAAACGTTTGAACAAAGGCATCTTTCTCCATTGTGGGAACACAAATGTGAAGATTCAGCTTTCTGGGTCAAGTAGGTTTGAGAAGTTTACATTTATGAAATGCATCTGGACGAATGTAGGACCATGATATAAATACAAAGGTCAAGTAAAGGTAAAGTTGTGAAACATAGCGAAAAACAGAACACGCACGAAAGAAGCTGTTTGCGTTTGCTTTTGCAAAGATGAGTTATGAAAAGAAGAGAACGTCCTTACAGTTATGTCAAATGGCTTGTTCCTTGATGACCAAAATGGAGATTCAGACCCTACTGACTGGTAAATATGGAAGACGAATGGCTGCGTGTAAATAATTATTCATCTCGCTGGCAATCACCCAATCCAACCTCCAAACCACCCAAATGTAAAGATCAACTAATAAATCACATATCGATATTAACACAAATCTCACAGTACATACATGTGCTGTGTGTGATCTGCCACTTGAGGGAATATCCTGAGGTCTGTATGGTGGAATCACTCTCGAACAGAATGAACAGCTGGTTTCCTGAAGACCGTATTGGAGAATGCTTGATGTTACCACAAAGAGACGCCAAGAGAGGGCTGCTGCTGGAGTTGCCATCAAACACCTGCACGTAGATGTTAATGCAGACAGCCTATGAGTATATCTCTCCATAAAACCTTCCAACATAATCTAGTCTACATCTAGCATCAGCTGTTTTAAATACTATGGTGATGTTTCAGACAAAACCCTTTACAAAGGAACAAGCACGAGTATATTCATTTTACAAAGGAACAAACGTGAATATAACTATTAACTGAGGAACAAATTATCACGTACAGGTATAAATCTTTTAGATCTGACAGTATAAAGTCTATGAAAAGGAACAGGCAATAATACAACTATTTACTCAGAAATTGTAATCTGAACTTGTTATTGTGATTCACTGTATTATTCATTGCTTGTTTCCATTGTTTGCAGGCCCATCATACCACGCGTGTCTAGTTGCGACTATATTCTATCAATATTATGACAATAACTGAGTAAATTCTGTTTTATGCCGATTGCTTGCAGCACGAAATAGGGCAGGTATCAGGCGTTTACCATTTGTGCGTAATCCACCAATACATGTACTGAGATGACAAATCTAGAAACATACTGAATCAACCAGGAGTCGAACCCACGACGACATGTTTCTGGGACATCCCAAAATGCGAGACTTCACATAAAACGACTGAGACACTTGTATCGTCTACCCCTTCCCCCACTATTTCCCTATTCCATAATAAATAGACACCGACCATCTGGCTTCTGAAGTCCTGATCAAAATAGAAAAAGACACCTTCTGTAAGTTAAATGGATTTCCACAGCCACTCAGGTTTTTACATATTCATGGACACGTTTTCACTACTTGTTTCCTATTAACAACCAAAACTCTAAAACTGTTCAACTTACTCACGACACATTATACGTGGTATAAAGAATACAGTAGTTAATAAACCCATGTCACACCTCATCTTGGTAGACTCACCATGAGTGAATCGTCCTTGCAATCCTTGCTATACTCAATGTCCATCTGAAGCACCTCCAGCAACACCGACGTCCCTGTGTACGTGATGATCCTGTACTCACAAGACATGGACTTTCCGTACCGACCCTGCTGGATGTAGCCGTGGGTCCCGAAGTGAGCCTCGCTGCCACAATCCTGGGACTCTGAAACATTGAGTGAAAATGTTAACATAAAACTTAATCGGGTTAAATGTTACGCTGAACCATTGAAAACGAACCTTACTATGAAGGAGATGAGCGTGGCTATAGTGAAAAGCTTATTTCATGTCAATGTCTCGGATATTTGATTAATACAAGATGTGAAACTAAGATGATGATCATAATTAGATCATGATAGTTATGTATCATATTCTGATTACCATAAAAAGGAGTTTAGGAAGGAGGTTTTAAACCAAGATGTGGTGACCAAATCTAAGGATCTGCAGCCACACCTCCCACTGTTGAACCGTCTTGAACATGCTATATCTCCGTGAAACACTAACTTGATTTTAGTATCAATGTGTCACGTGGCATAGAACTTATTCATAAGCGTCTGTGTTGTCTACCACGTGGTATCTCACGCCCTCTTGGATTTTCTGCCACCAGTGGCACTGCTGAGCTGGATGCATATCCAGAAATGATCGGAATGGTTCAATATATATAAGTGTGCCAAGTTGGGTGCTTTTAACCCAAAGTGCACGATTTTAGCCTTAGTCTCCCCACTAATGTATACAATGTTATCTTACGGTGACAGTCTGTCAAAAAGCAATGTGTGCTGTCCAAATCTTTTCCGGGGCACTGTTGCCCGCTTCCCGACGGAGAAGGGTCGTCACACGTGCGTTTCCGGTATTGTATCCCTACGCCACAGGCCCTAGAACATCTGCTCCATGAAGTCCAAACGCTCCAACTGCCGTCTCTGTCTAGTAAATAGGAATATCCGTTCTACCCTTGTAACTGAACCTACACATAATATTGTGGAAAAATAGAACCGTACACAGAGGAAACACAGTCGTGAAAAGCGCGGGAATGGATCACTGCAGACCAGCAACGACACCAAGTGCCTGCTACAATGACAAACATGTTCCGCCCCATCGACATATCCCTTTAACACTTTACAGACTGATACTTCACATATGGTTGCCTGCAACATCGGAATGCGCAAGTTTGTAAGACGAGTAAGATCAAATGCCAGATTGGATTAATCATGATACCTTTCCATTTTTCAGCAGTATATTCCTGAGAAAACCGGTATGTTGGGCTTGAGATTGAAATACTGAGAAGTGCTATGACATGCACCAAACTACTACTACAGTTATTTTAGGCTTTCATTGTAATTCTTGTGTATTGTTTACCCTGACACGGCGTGGTGTTACAAGACTTGGACTCGTTGGTCTCCCCATGACACGGTGTCCCGGCTCCCACAGCAGGGGGATTGCTGCAGAACCTCCTCCGTATCTGAGTCCCCCCTCCACACGGCTGGCTGCAACGCTCCCACTTTCCCCAAGCCCCCCATGCTCCATCTATGTCTGGAAGTGATGAACATAGCACCCGGAATCATCAGTTCTTAACTCGAAGAATTATTTTCACATTTTATACGAAAGGTATCCTTGGCACTGAGCTCATTAATTTGGAATTTTATATACGTTTTCACGCCAAAGTTTATGAAAAATAGCATATTCTGTCAATTTTTCTGTGGTTTCATTTAGTCTTTTGAATACATGCAATTGTATTTTCAGTCACACTCTTTTAATGTGTAGAGTTTGCATTCATGGAAATGTATACTTTGCAAAAAACACGAAACGCAATAATATTATTGACTAATGTTCTTTCACTCACTTCCTTTGAATATGTAGTATTCATATTCAGGAAAAGCAAAAGCGGTTTCAGTTGTATACTGTATACATAAATAATCAACAGATTTGTGGCTCGTATTTCTACCGTCACAGTGAAAGTGAATCTAAATCTCGATTACGTGACAGTAAATTTGTAATAAATTCGACATTGTACGCAATGATAGAGGACAATACCAGCGTTCCCTATGTCTATGTTCATGAGTGAAATGTCTACCTGTAAATACTTTCTCTGCTGAACAGAACAGGAAATGCAAAGCTTCTTGAAACTACTGAGAATACCTTTCGGATAGGAATAAGCAGTTTGCCTTTCGGATAGGAATAAGCAGTTTACCATTTGGATAAGAATAAGCAATGTACCTTTCTGATAGGAATAAACTGCCATTGCTAGGTTGTTTCCTCGTCCGTTCTTTCCACACAGGTTGCTTGGTCCATATTTGGCAAATGACGTCAGAGCATCAGGGCCAGTTAGACAATCACCGTCCCGGAACAGAGCAAAGACGGGGTATCCCAGCTCATTTGCTGCGTCTGCGCATTCGCGGTAAGCTTCTAGAGTGTGGAACTCCAGGGTATTCGAATGCTGGTTTTCAATCATAGGGATGGCGGGATGAGAGGCGTTGTTCAGCCAGCATCCGATGTACGAAGCGTCTGGAAAAATCATCAAGGATCACAGGTTAAAAGCAAGGAACCTAGAACCTCTGATTGAAGTGCTAAAATCAGATTTTTTCTTCCTGAGATGCAATACATGTATAAACATGACCCTTCCTGAGATGCAGGATAAACATGACCCTTCTTGAGATGCAGGATAAACATGACCCTTCTTGAGATGCAGGATAAACATGACCCTTCCTCAGATGCAGGATAAGCATGACCCTTCCTCAGATGCAGGATAAACATGACCCTTCTTGAGATGCAGGATAAACATGACCCTTCCTCAGATGCAGGATAAACATGACCCTTCCTCAGATGCAGGATAAACATGACCCTTCTTGAGATGCAGGATAAACATGACCCTTCTTAAGATGCAGGATAAACATGACCCTTCTTCAGACCCCTTCTTGCAGGATAAGATTCTTGCAGGATAAACATGACCCTTCCTCAGATGCAGGATAAGCATGACCCTTCCTCAGATGCAGGATAAACCTCTTCTTGAGATGCAGGATAAACATGACAGGCAGGATAAACATGACCCTTCTTGAGATGCAGGATAAACATGACCCTTCTTCTTGACCCTTCTTGAGATGCAGGATAAACATGACCCTTCCTCAGATGCAGGATAAACATGATAAGATGCAGGATAAACATGACCCTTCTTGAGATGCAGGATAAACATGACCCTTCAGGATAAACATGACCCTTCCTCAGATGCAGGATAAACATGACCCTTCTTGAGATGCAGGATAAACATGACCCTTCTTGAGATGCAGGATAAACATGACCCTTCTTGAGATGCAGGATAAACATGACCCTTCTTGAGATGCAGGATAAACATGACCCTTCTTGAGATGCAGGATAAACATGACCCTTCTTCAGATGCAGGATAAACATGACCCTTCCTCAGATGCAGGATAAACATGACCCTTCTTCAGATGCAGGATAAACATGACCCTTCAGGATGCAGGATAAACATGACCCTTCCTCAGATGCAGGATAAACATGACCTTCTTTGAGATGCAGGATTGAGATGCCTTTCTTGATGATGCAGGACATGACCCTTCTTGAGATGCAGGATAAACATGACCTTTCTTGAGATGCAGGATAAACATGACCCTTCCTCAGATGCAGGATAAACATGACCCTTCTTGAGATGCAGGATAAACATGACCCTTCTTGAGATGCAGGATAAACATGACCCTTCTTCAGATGCAGGATAAACATGATGCCATGACTTCTTGAGATGCAGGATAAACATGACCCTTCCTCAGATGCAGGATAAACATGACAGGATAAACATGACCCTTCTTGAGATGCAGGATAAACATGACCCTTCCTCAGATGCAGGATGCAGGATAAACACATGACCCTTCTTGAGATGCAGGATAAACATGACCCTTCCTCAGATGCAGGATAAACATGACCCTTCTTGAGATGCAGGATAAACATGACCCTTCCTTGAGATGCAGGATAAACATGACCCTTCTTGAGATGCAGGATAAACATGATGCAGGATAAAGCATGACCCTTCCTCAGATGCAGGATAAACATGACCCTTCCTCAGATGCAGGATAAACATGACCCTTCTTGAGATGCAGGATAAACATGACCCTTCTTGCAGGATGCTTCTTAAGATGCAGGATGCAGGATAAACATGACCCTTCCTCAGATGCAGGATAAACATGACCCTTCTTCAGATGCAGGATAAACAAACATGACCCTTCTTTCCTCAGATGATGCAGGATAAACATGACCCTTCCTCAGATGCAGGATAAACATGACCCTTCCCTTCCATGACCCTTCTTGAGATGCAGGAGATGCAGGATAAACATGACCCTTCCTCAGATGCAGGATAAACATGACCCTTCTTGAGATGCAGGATAAACATGACCTTCTTCAGATGCAGGATAAACATGACCCTTCTTGAGATGCAGGATAAACATGACCCTTCTTGAGATGCAGGATAAACATGACCCTTCTTAAGATGCAGGATAAACATGACCCTTCCTCAGATGCAGGATAAACATGACCCTTCCTCAGATGCAGGATAAACATGACCCTTCCTCAGATGCAGGATAAACATGACCCTTCTTAAGATGCAGGATAAACATGACCCTTCTTGAGATGCAGGATAAACATGAACCTTCTTGAGATGCAGGATAAACATGACCCTTCCTCAGATGCAGGATAAACATGACCCTTCCTCAGATGCAGGATAAACATGACCCTTCCTCAGATGCAGGATAAACATGACCCTTCCTCAGATGCAGGATAAACATGGAGAAACAGGATAAACATGACCCTTCCTGAGATGCAGGATAAACCATGACCCTTCCTCAGATGCAGGAACAACTTGACCAGGACAAGTTTTTGACCCTTCATAAGTATACGATGATCCCAAAATCGTAAATGTTCAGTTATCTCCCAAAATCGCACATTTGGTTATTGGTTTGCCCAGAATTCTACATTAAATCCTTTTCTACGGGATGTCTGTAAATTATTTTGTATAGTTTCAAATATGATTCACCTATAAATACAAATGACTTATAAAGGACTTGATTAACAAATATTCCAAGTTGAAGAGAGATTCAAGTCTCTCTAAAACCAGATATTTTACTTTGATACGATGTCTCTTTCAAGATCTGAGGACGTCTCCAAACTCGGGTGAACTTTCTAATCAGCCAATCAAACAGACCATCATATCCGATATTTGTATCAGGTAAACATCCTAACACAAACGTTTCCGAATGTACATAAGTAAGGCGGTACGATTATACTGTCTCAGATATTCGATATGTTTTATGGGTTTATGTCATCTGCACTAAAATTGAGAACCATGAATTGAATACTGTATTCAGCATGAGTATTCAGCTAACGGGATCGGGTGGTCAGACTCGCTGACTCGTTCGTGCATGCCATCGTATCTCATCGTAAGTCGATATTCATGATGGCAGGTAGGTTTTGTTAATGATTATTCTTTCGTTTAACACCAAACCTGAGCGGTCTGTAAATAATCGAGTCTTGATCAGACAATCCAGTGATCAACAGCATGTGCATCCATCTACGCAATTGGGATACGATGACATGTGTCAACCAAGTCAGTGAGCCTGACCACCCGGTCCCGATAGTCGTCTCTTACGACAAGCATGGACAAAACCAATTCTAACCCGGATCTTCACGGGTGTTTTGTTTAAGCTCTACATACGTATACAAGGTGGCGGACACACGTAGTTCTCATCGCTCGGTTCCGGGCCGCAGTCCTGTCTGATGAAGTCCAGACAGAGCCTTGACCTCTTGGCGTTGCAGTTGATGTCACAAGGACTCCAGTCGGAAAATGGCCCCCAGGCGTAGTGGGGTGTGGTTTTGGGTAGGGGCGGCGGGGTTCGGACGTGATGGGGTAGGTTGGGTGGTGTAGCGAATTGGTGGCCCTTGACAGGATGGAGAGGCGGTGGTGTCGGTCGTACGGCGGGCGGCGTGGTGGAAAGTCGTGGAGGAGCGTGAAGGTTTGTTGCTGAAAGTGTGATCCAAACATGTCGAAAGATCGTGGAATAAAACGGATAAGTAAAGCGACCCTGAAAAGCATTAGACAATCGGTTACTCGTTAGTGTTGCTGAAAGTGTGATCGCAAACATGTCGCAGTGATTATGAACAACTACCCTTCCCGGCAACAGAACAAACTACCTGTTTCAACTATCCATCAGAACAATAGATCAAGAACCCCAGTCACCTCAGCACCATGCCACACCAGTGAGTGAGGAGAAAATAGTATATCTAACGTAGTAGTCAGTAATGTTATCTTTATCATGTTTATATATACTCGACTCTGAGCTAAGCAATTTAGTACAAGTGAGCATATTTTATCACATACCCCGCCCCCCTCAAACCCCAAGCGACTACCGAGACAAAAATCTTACTATGTGTCGGGAAACATTTGTACAGTTTATTGACTTTCCAGGCATCTACATAACTGAGGTGGTCTCTCTGTCCCAGAGCGGATTTCGTAGGCCTGACTGTCCTTATGGTCTCCTGTCCGTTCCTGGAGAAGGCCGTCGCTGAGTAGTGCATGATGCTGCCCGTAGTCGTAGGGGGCGCCTAGGACGTCCACGTCGCTGATAGTGAACTTCTCAAAATTAAACTCTCGACCTGTTATATGATGCAAGTGTAATGGAATAATACTGCATTTGAAAGTCGTGTGTAACATAGCGATGACAGTTTCACAAATTATAGTGTCTGGCCATACGAATCCTATTTGTCTGACATTAGGGACATCTAGATGAACAACTTCATAGTTTGTTATACGATTGTTTTCCACAAAGGCCCACTTATCTCACGAAATGTATGCCTTCGAAAGGAACACGCCAAATGCATGTACTTCAACCATGTCATGATACAGGGGTCAGCTTTGTAAATCTTTAACGTGAAACTTAGATGAGCATTGGAACTGGACACACGTCCAGGGTGACATGGAATTTAAACCACGGCAGATGTCTTTATTCAAATTTTGAATGAGAACTGTATGAATTGAATAAACGACACCGCTACAAGAAGCAAGGTATCTATGAGTACACCATGGCTCTGTGTGATGTACATAGTAAGGGTTATATAAATGACTTAAAACGTTGTCTATGTAACACTGTTCTACCTTCCTTGATGTTGTCCCAGATGATCTGGATAAAGGAGTCTCTGTCAGATCTATTCTGTTCATGCCAAAACCCCAGGGCGTGCATGATCTCGTGGATGGCCGTGCCCTTGGTCAGACAAGGCTTGCCCACCGTGAGCTCCTGCTGGTCACCGGTCCGGCCCACAGATGAGTAGCATCTGCAGTGGCGAGAGAACAAGTTGTAGATCTACCTTTACAGCAACCCTTAATATATTTCAAAAATGTGAGTAATACGAGTGAGTGAGTTTAGTTTTACGCCGCATTCAGAAATATTCCACCTATATATCGCTCGTGTGTAGATAATCGAGACTGGACCAGACAATCCGGTCATCAACAGCATGAGTATCGATCTACGCAATTGGGATACGGTGACATGTGTCAACCAAGTCAGGAGCCTGACCACCCGATTCCGTTAGTCGCCTCTTACGCCAAGCATGTGTTACTGAAGATCGATTCTAACCCGGATCCGAATTTTAGAAGTGCAGGAGTAGAATGGACGTTGTTTTAATATCACTGGATAAAAGCAGTTTCAACAGTTTGAAATGTTTACAATGACCTCCTCAAAGTGCGCCTAAAATAAGCAACATATGAAATGTTTAAAACTGGTTTTAGTTTTAGCTGACCGGGTGAACCCACAATAAAATTATATAGTCGAAAGGTAACATCCCACTTATCAACATACATTACTTTTTGTTACTGAAGTCCCGTGAAGATGCGGGTTAGAATTGATCTTCAGTAACCCATACTTGTCGTAAGAGGCGACTAACGGGATCGGGTGGTCAGGCTCGCTGACTTGGTTGACATGTCATCGTATCCAAATTGTGTAGATCGATGCTCATGCCGTTGATCACTGGATTGTCTGGTCCAGACTCGATTATTTACAGTCCGCCGTCATATAGCTGGAATATTGCCGAGTGCGGCGTAAAACTATACTCACCCACTCACTCAATCGTTACTGAAATGCGTTAACGGGTTAGCTGTAACTGCCTCTCCTAAAAATTTACACTTCTATAAATCTTTGTGAAATCATAAAGTTTGGCGATTCTAATGGAAGTATGTGTACATTAGGTCTGTGGTGGATAGCAATGGCTGTGCCACATTGTGAATAAATAAAGCCATCACAAAAATGTGTTAAACTGAATTACGCGTATATAATGTCCGTTACCCTTTGTGTTGCACGAAGTATATATAATCTTCTTCTTCCTTCCTGGGAACAAACCGCATGCATGTTTTGTTGTGGAATTCTGCCATCGCCTCCATAATGGCTCTCACTTCATCAGAGTCTGTGATGATAGAAAATAACAAAATACTGCAGATCTATGGTTCTATGAAACGTGGTTGGTTGTTATATAAATTGATTCGCTGCCTGATAGTGCTGATCTCATATGTATGTTCGCCAAAATTTGAACATGACATGTCCTACCATGGCATCCGTCACAAGTACATGCAAAGCCAAGTCAATTGTTCACCGGAAAAAGAACATCATTAAAAATGTGGAAGTGTGTTCCTCGCCTTGACATATCGAGAAAGTTGCTTTTCTGGATATGATTTAGACTTCATTTGCTGAAACAGCTCTACTGACCATATCTCGAATCCATGGTGTAAGGTATGGTGGTGTCTGGCCACAGGCGGGACCGGTCAATCACAGCTGTTCGATACTGAAACGTATCGGATGTTTGGTTAGTCCTCTATACTCAAATATCTCACATTGCAACCAGGCAATACTTCATAGAGGGCGTTGTGCCATCTAACTATTACTACTTTACGCTTTTACTTATGAGTGATACGTGCTTATCGGGTAGAGAAGTGAGTCGAGTTCAGATCGATATTTGACATTACACCACGAAAATGCCAATGAACAATTATAAGCGTTGCGTGTAACCTTACAACTACTAGCTACAATATGAACTGTTATGGTATGCCTATACATAGGTTTCCAACCACGCACACGCGAATAGCACAGAGCTTGACCACGCAGACAGTGCCACATATACGAGTACGATGTACACCGTACTATAAATGTCACTATACAAAGCATGAATGTTGTTGATTGCGACATAAAATGACATCCACTCATTCACTAACTTACTCGTGGAGGCAGAGACTTGATATCTCCCTCGAACAGATTGACACCATTCGCTGTAGCAAAAATATGAAATGAACATTACAACACTACAGACAATGTAAGCACAATGAGTACGCCCAATGATGCGTTTGCTGTTTCCTACTGTTAATGCCTTTGAGGTACCATGGCAGATCAACTTTAACTATTCACATCACCCTAATATTAAGAAAACAGTAATGCATGGGTAATTACATGGTATTTAAGGTAGGTCAATGGTCCTACTAATTGGGATAGTGACTGCGATATGATTTAGATTTTACGAGTGGTACGCATACTCCTGTATTCAGCGACAGAGTTACCTTTGCGCTATACAGTGCCCGTTGCATCACGAGGTGTGTTTACTGTGTGATGTTGAACGTACCTTCATTAGCCGCTAGAATAATGTCGTGCGCCGTTGAATACCTTGTGTCAACCTGTGTGTTGTCCACTGAAAATATATGACACGGTAAAGTCAGATGGGAGTCTCGCCATATCGAGAATGACTGTTAAGCCAGATATTTGATACTATCATTTTTTCCGAAAACAACAAAATTTCCAGTTTTCCAGAATTATATGTATTGTCACAGTAACATTTCCTTCGAAGAGAATACTACAACATGTTTAAGGACACCTACCCTCATTAGAAACATCAATCGGCCCATGGTCCAACATTGCCTAAAACAAAGAATCGTTGTTCGTTGGAATACGATGGTACATGTTTCTATGTTGATTTTAAGTTTTACTCAAATTAAAATTTCCTGTAAGTTTTTAGGATTACTGAACATGCTTAGGTCTTCAGCTACATAGTTCACGTAAGATGTTCCTTTAAATTACCTTGCTGTTGATGCGGTTGACCAATGCTACGAAACACGCTGCTCCGATAATTAGACGGTATGTCATCCTGGATAATCTGTGGAGGGGCTGTATTCTAGAAAACATGTATAATACGGTGTTAAATGTAATGTTTATATTGACCCCTGTGCATCAGATTACTATAGGATGGAACCCTGAAGTAATGCCCCTTGTAATGGTATATCACGTCGTTTAAACCAACACATACTGGCATGGTACTGCCATTAAAAACGTCATACCAAAAGACGTTAAAATATGGTACATGTACTTGTTGGTCCCTGCCTGGCGCTCGGCATTAATGGGTACAACAAGGACTGGTCGGCTCGCAGTCAGTATAATGCGTCTGAGTGGGGTATTCATGCTTCACTGCGGAATGGTATCTCAGTGGGCTAGCACTAGAAAACCAGCTTCAGTCTGGGCTAGTACAAGCAGCCGCACATACACATACACGCGCATGCACGTCGTCATATGAGCGAAATATTCTCAAGCACGACATAAAACCCAATTTCACCTCACCATTAAAACAATCATAATGAGACCAAATCGTGGATTTGAACCCACTGTGAGATGATCCTGTCACCTTTGGAGAGTGCTATACATACGCATTGCAACAGATATAGGAAAATAATCAAATTACGTTACATGTCATCAATGAAAGAACTTTTCTTACACCACTATCAAAACAAGATCACATACCTTGTAGTGTTATAACATTTCCAGTCTTCCACAACGTGCATGCATTTTACACTGCTTACGAATAGAATATTCTACCTCAACACATTTCAAAGGAAATACACGTGCAATATATACTAAGATCCCGTTATGTGGCGTGATCATTGGCTCATTTGTCTCCTCCAGCTCTTATGGAGGTTGCCCCACGCGGGGGCATTCCTGCGTCACCCAGGCAGTTATCAATGAATTATAACATGGTCTCGCAATTATGAATAGAACCCCCCGGTATGGAAAGCATGAAGTATTGCTTTAGTGACGTTAACTGTGTAATAAAACATTGTTTGTATCGCCGTCTTTCAACAATTACAAATTGTGAATTCGAAGTATTTTTGTGCTGTTGTGGTGGAACATGATCTCCCACGTGAGTTAAGTCTTTTGGTAATAATTAATGTTCTCTTTCTTCGCAACATGCTTTTTGTGTGTGTGTGCGTGCGTGCGTGCGTGTGTGTGTGAGAGAGAGAGAGAGAGAGTGTGTGTGCGTGTGTCCGTGTCTGTGTAATTGGTTGTCTAACCTATTAGGACATATGTTACGATTTTAACACTGTTGGCTTAAAGTTTCTTTGATCATTATTTCTTCTCACTGTATAAGAAAAGCTCAGAGCGGCAACGCGGTAAGGGGTAGAAATTTCCATTTTTCACACACACACACACACACACACACACACACACATTGGTGTGTGGTTGTGACACATTGGGTCTTATGAACAGGAGGACTCCATGAATTGAACCATCAATCAGGCGATGCTTAATAAGGAACGCAACTCCTCACGGTGATTTGTTGTGAGTCGATCGTACGCCACTGTATATTTCATGAGACAATACCAAGCGAGTAGAGGCACAAGAGTATTGATCAAGACGTTTCGCAATCCTGAAGTCAAGTTACTCGTGAACGCTATACAGATACCATATAATAACGGACCACACTTACTGATCGCATGAGGGGTGGTGGGGTAGCCTAGTGGTTAAGCGTCCGCTCGTCACGCTGAAGACCCGGTTCGATTCCCTACATGGGTACAATGTATGAAGCCCATTCCTGGTGTCCCCCGCCGTGATACTGCTGGAATATTGCTAAAACCGGCGTAAAACCCAACTCACTCACTCACTCTGATCGTGTGACCACAGAAACACGATGCCGCGGTCATCTTGAGCTACGGGAGTTCAGATACAGTACGAGATGCGAGGTAACAGCGCATTTGCGCTCATAAGAAAGTGAAGACACAAACAAGCTTTTTCAAGGTGTTCAACGTTCAACATATATGCTGCAGTTACAAATACTCATATTTAACACGAGTACATAATTCAGTACATTTTGTTGAATATTTCTGTGCTTTAGTCACGAACAATAGTTTATTAGAGCAAATTGGGGGCACGTACGCGTGAAGGTCCCGATTAGAATGAATCTTAATTCAACTATTATGTGGCAGTTTTATTCATTGTGTAACAATTCCGAATGTAATACATTGTACCTGTTGGCATACAGTAAGGGGACAGTGGTGTGCTTTATATTTAGACTTGTGGTAGATTTGTACAGGATTTTGGAAGGTACTACAAACCCGTGCGCCTTTCCACTGTATTCTGACCTGGAGAGTTGGTGAATCTTCAAGAGTATTTTTCTTGGGTATACAAGGGGAGAGCTAACTCTTGCCTCTCATCTCCCATTACAAGTCTCAAATTTTATTCCGTAGTTTAGGCCACATGGCCCATAGTACAATTGTGTTGCAAGATATTTCAATCGTCGTCACATGACCATAATTACATTAAGAAGATCTTAAGCTAAATATTTTTAGCAGATATATAGATGTTAAACGTAATATATTTACATCATGTGTGTAATATTTGTTGCAAAGTTAATCTAATTTTACAATATTTTTTGATGGACAAGAAGTATTCATTACGGAGTAGAAAATATCTATTACAGATAAAGAAAACACGGTATTCATTTTCTACAACATTCATATCACAGTGCAAACAAATTGATTCTATATCAGAATTATCATTGACTTTCTTTTTACGTTGTTGATTCACCCTGAAATCATGAAGATTTACCCTTTTCTCCCATTACATTTCAAGTTACAAGAACACCTGCATTTTGTGGAGGTCATTCTTACCCTGGATATACAGCTTACCATAATTGTCTTTAGTCACTGATTTTGTACCCGTGAAGTTCCGGGGTAGAATGAGCCTTCAGTAACCCATGCTTATCGTAAGAGGCGACTAACGGGATCGGGTGGTCAGGCTCGCTGGGTTGGTTGACACATGTCACCGGTTCTTAATTGCACAGATCGATGCTCATGCTGTTGATGATCACTGGATTGTCTGGTCCAGATTCCATTATTTACAGCCCGCCGCCATATAACTGGAATATTGCTGAGTGCGGCGTAAAACTAAACTCACTCACTGATTTGTATTGTTCGGTTTTTGAATTTGTATTGCCACGCTATTTTGTAGCGCCACTGTAATACCTTTGTAGGGATTTGAATTAATTTATAAACTATAGTTAATTTTATCAAATTTCTTTGTTTTCTGTTAGCTTCACATTTCTTATTTGGGCTGATTTCCGATACACTTCTGCATTAGTTTCAACTTGACAATCAAAACGTCACACAACCTATGCTTGTCGCAAGAAACGACTAACGGGAACTGGTGGTCAAGCTATTTTACAAAAAAAATATCATTTTTATTTAATCTGTCCTTGTTTCGAAGAACAGAAACATCTGTATACCTTAAATGACCCAATATTCCGAATTTTGTCTTGTTACGAGGACAACTATTCACTAAATTAGTTTAAAAATAACTGCCTTTTTGTAAACTTATTATGCGAAAATTTCGATAAGTGGGTTAACATCTATCTTATCATTTCATGTATTTCTTTTGTTGCAACATTGAATGTCCTCTGAATGCCATTGTATTTTGTACTTGTATTTGTATAGTGTGTGTGTTCTTGTATAGCATGGACTACGGCCTGAAAGTAATCAAGTTCAGTTCAGTTGATGCATGTTATGGTATCCCAAATGATCGAAGCTCGTGATGTCAATCACTGGATTGTCTGGTCCAGATTTATCCTATACAGACCGCCGGTAAATATTTTGAATACTGCTGAGTTCATCATTAAAACAACAAACAAAGGCATTGGGGACTTTGACGACAAAGGACATGGTTTATGCACACATATGCTGTTCTTGCCAGGAAGCTGCATTAATTTGACGTCGTCTTCCTCACCATCCGAGTAACACCCCGGTTCGGCTAGACACATGTGTATGTTGTTTAAAGCGACAGCAGAAATATTCATATAACAGCGGTCTGTAAATTATCTAGCCTTGCAAACGTTGTTGTGTGGGTGGAATTTCTACGAGTGGCACATGTTGCCTATAGCCAGTGATGTTTGTAAACCACCGTAAACATCAAGTTAAAGTTCACTTCCTATCACCACATATACAGTATTCTGGTTCTGGGAGTGCTTGTTAAAATCTAAGAGAATATGCCAAATGTGTTTCACGAAAGTTATAAGTGGTTATTGGTTTTTCAAATAGTGGGATCCTATATGACATTCACTACACATCCAGAAATTATAAGTAAGTACATTACCATAGATCTATAAGCTCTCGAAGCATTTGTACATGTTTTCGACACATTTTTGTTCTAATTAAACACTGTTGCGTGATTAATTATTCAGTGATACGTAATCATGGTACTATGTCAGTGCGACCTTTAAAGATCCATATATGCATTTATTTGATGAATTCAATTTTTATACCAAATATTTGTTTGCCAAGAAAACAAATCACCACAACCATGATTTCCTTATGGGTAAATTACATCTTGTGAAGATCGATGTGGCTGTGCTTAGGTTTACTGTTGGTAGGGTTACTCTCTAGTACTCCGCCCTTTAAGAAACGGCAGTTACTCTATCACCCATTGCACTAAAAAGCTTGCATTAGGCCAGTCTCTTCTGATTTCAGAATGCGCGTTTGTTTACAAACAAGAGAAAAAGTCCAGTCACGTGATATGCAAATTAGCATGTTCTGGTATTCCTTATACACATATTGTGTGAACTAAAGAGCTACGAGTTGAGTGTGTGCCAATTTGTTTTGGCTGGCATCCCATGACGGAGGACGATAGAATTCCTAGCTCAGAAACTTTGTGGCTAATAAAATTAAGTTCTACACTCCTGACATCAAGAAAAATCTACCCGAGAAAGGTTTCCTCAGCGGAACCAGTCTCCCTGGCGGGACGTATCGACCTTACACTACACAGTGCAATACAAAGTACCTTTTTCATGTTTTACTTCTTTTGAAAACTGTTTATTCTAGTTTTTCTCCTGTAATTATTATGAGTGTTTTATAATCAACCAATAAACCATTCAAATGGCAATGCAATGTGCGTACAACAGTTTAAATAGTTTATACCGATGTGAAGATAATGTTTTGTGCGTGTAGTTTTGAGAGTTATGTGCCCTTGTCTTCCTCTATGACGTCAGTTAAGATGGACCAATCAACGAGCCTGTAACAAAGACGTTCGTCTGTAGTTATTGTCAGCTTTATGGCCATCTCTGTTTTGCTTGTGACAGCGGAGAGGCAAAACGGACTACATCTACAATACTGTCTCTTCGGGCGTCTCTGGCCTAATGAACCTAGCAAGCCAGGCCGGGGAGCAGCAGTCTAACCTGTTGTTTGTCAATTTTAATCAAGATTGCACGTATGTTGATGCTTATTTTCACCAGAAATTCCCAGTCGTAATTACCACCCCTGACCCAATTTCGTTTGTTTTTGTTTGGCAAATGCCTCCCATCTCAGCTGACTGCAACGCTAACTGTTGTCAATTTTTATTTCAGGTCCATCGCTGTCGGTACCAAATGTGGATATAAACTATTCTCGCTCAGCTCTGTCGATAAACTTGAACCTATCTATGATAATGGTAAGGTGTCAATTTTCACACAGTTTGCAATTTTATTCTTTGCAAGTCTTGTGGCCTAGTATTAGAAATGTCAGGGATATTTTTGGATATGACGGATTCATGTCGTGCTTAGAGCTGTTGCACCACGTCCATGAAGTTATTAATATACGAACATGTCTTTGTATAACAGGTGTTTGCTTGCCTTTCAAATATTGTAAGATGTGCAATACACTGGGTAAAATTTGTCAATATCTCACTCGATGTTTACAAGAACTTGTAGATGTTTTGTTTGAATTCACAGCTGTTACTGCTTGTAATAGATTTATTGATAATGCAGGCAAAACAAGAGTAACATGAGAAAAGATACAATATTTATCATCATGCTTATTTTATGTATTATAAAGTGGTCATTTCCATTTGTAATCCATTCTAGTACAAATTTCCACATATCTTATCAGTGTAAACAATGATGTCTCACAAACATCATGAATAGCTCTTGACACTGTTACAGTGTTTGGTCAACATGTCAAGGTTTCCATTCAGGTTCACATAAGTTCAGTTGGTTAAATTACCTCAGTCAATATCTTATTGTCATGTCAATATTCACTCTGTATTGATCAGGTGAATCTGCCCACACAAAGAAATTCCGAAGTTTTTACCATACAATCTGATTATTTTGAAGCACTGAAAATTTCACTCTGCTGATGCCACTCTCTTTTCAGGTAGTTTCTGTTGATATTTTTTTGACAAAACTCATTTTGTACCTGTAAGGCAAGTTGGTATCAAACAAATGTAAGTCAACTTGGACTAGAACATATCTGTGTACTATGACTTGACATACATGTACTTTGTTCATGATGTGCCTAAAACTTACTTACTTATGTATAAATCTGTGTCATGTATACGTTTAGTAATACAATTTTGGTAAATCTGCATAATTTTATATTTTATATTAAAAGCGTTAAATGGTCATGTGATTTCAAAACAATAGCACCCTGTGATTGTTTTTAAAATTGACAAACAGTCGATTTCACTTGATAAAGCAAAAAAGTAGGTCAGTAACAGTTTCTAAACTAATTTTTGGAAACATTACACATATGTATGATGGCATCTGTGTTTCAATTCAACAGTTAATTGTACAATTGAACTTCTCTGTTTGTAGGTAATATGGTTTAGGTTTAAAATTGAATATGAAGTAGCACTGTCAATACTTTCATGTCTGATTGCCCTTTGTCCAAGCAGAAGAAAAGGTTTCTATTCTGTTAAGTGTTGCCACCTGCTACTGAACAACCTCCAATGGATGCTAATTGCATTAGAAGATTTTGGTCCTTATGTAATCAATCATGCCTTGGGTTAAGGTGGCTGGAACACTTGATTGATCTGCCCTCCAGGCTCTTTGCACTTGACCGACTCATTGACCAGGACAGTCAAATCCTCCACAGGTCATGTTCACTCATGTGCTGAGGAATGAACTGAACATACTCAGTGGAATGTTGACTGCTTGGAGTTTACGGAGTTGTATATTTGCTTGTTACCTTGACTCGTAGGGAAGGCTTTTGTCTATGTGGTTTTCATTAATGTCATTCATTTGGTTGAAGTTGCATGAGATTGTCAAGATAGATACAGGGCTATAATTAGCCAGCTGGAATTGTCTTACTTTCACAGAAGCAATATTAAGCTGTACAGAAGCAAAATATTTCGGGTTGTTATTGTTGTACTAAAAGTCAAAGTTGTTGCATTTCAATTTCATAGTTGAAATAGTATTTTTACCAGAGATTTGTTCAGAAAAGAATTTGGTATGAAACCAACAAAACAACAAAGAAATATTTTACAATTAGCAGTTGTATTCTGAAATTGACAAAGTTTTCAAACCAAGATTAACATATATAATCCCAGAAATATAGTTATCTTGTTAGATAATATTAAAAATATATCCGCTGATCTGAGTGTAGTATTCAGGGCAACAATAGGTAATTAAAGATTGTCTGACTTTCAAAATCATTTTTTTTGTAATAAACTCTGAAGAAAACCAGCATCCTAACAACCCTGCATGATACAATGTTACCTTAGTGGATGGTTTCACATTGCGAAAAGAAATAATACGTCTACGACCTTTTTAGTTCAAACCATTGTGTTTAGTAGAGATCCAACAGGACCAGTAGATTTTTCTATGCGCTGGTCGTTTTGACCAATGAGAAATTTTGGTCAGTGTTAAACACTGATCAGTCACAGTCCTGGATTCAATATCAGTACATAATAGAATGTGTGAAACCTGTTTGATCTGACATGATATTGCTTTGATAGCAACACAAGGACTCATTTTCACAACAATGAACGGTTGATTGACACAATGTGTGACTTATTCTTAGCCCAAATGTTTTGTTTAATGTGGTCAGATAGAAAGTTCTATGTCATTATCTACAGTACAACATAGTTACCATATACTGTAACTGTCACACTTTACTTTGTTAAAATGTAAATGCAGACACTGTCTTCTTAAGCAGTGTGGGGCGGTCTAGTGGTTAAAGCGGTCTATTGGTTAAAGCGTTCGCTGGTCACGCCAAAGACCAGGGTTCGATTCCCCACATGGGTACACATGGTACAATGTGTGAAGCCTATTTCTTGTGTCCCTGTCATGATATTGCTGGAATATTGCTAAAAGCAGCCTAAACCTAAACTCACTCACTCTTTTGTCATGTATAGCATCATATATATCTCTATGGGTAACCGTGGTAAAGGTGATCAAGGTTATCAGGATTCTAGTAAGTAGATGGCAAAAATCTTGCAAGTGTTGGTACCACTGATGAAGATCTTTTTTTTATGCTCTGCTTTTTAGTATCTTATCGTCGTAGTACAGTACAACCAGAAATTATTGAGAATTTAAAGATTGTAATTTTTGTTCAGGTTTCATGATCGGTGATAGATTTCCTCGACTTTTCTGCCAACCCATTGAATGCAGCTCAGTTCTAATTGTCTCCTTACAGACAGCCACAGTTCCTCTATCAGTTTTCTAAACGCCTTCGTTTGTTTTTTAGAAACAAGAATACCAAGCCGCCTCCTGTCACCGACAGTCAATTTTCTGGGCCTACCTGCGCCTCCCTGATGCTCAATGCCATATCCATTTGCAATATTTTTCAAAACACGATAAACAGTGGACAAAGGGATGCTTGTTCTACTTGAAATCACTTTAGCTGATCTGATGTCCTTGTTATAATACTCTAAAATCAACTTCCCCTTCTCTAAATCATCCATACTGAGGATCACTGAAAATGTCGTCTGCTAGCAAGTAAACAAAGGGGGATAACTCTTCACAAACTAATGAAAAAGGATTAACAGAGTTGTCTCTCTTGAATGAACCCAAGCACTTGATAGCTGGTCAAGGTTGTTTTTACTAGAAATCCAATTAAACATATTCCTAAAATTCTCAATAATTTCTGGTCATACTATATCTTCCTATTTTATTAATATTTTCATTGTTCCCACCCTCCAACATATTGTCACCCTGTTTGCCGCTGTGATGTTGCTGGAATATTTCTAAAAGGCGTAAAACCAAACTCAGTCAGTCACCCTGTTTGAATAAGTTGTTGAAATGTACCGGTAGTACTAAACTGTCACCTCCACTCATGAAGTAAATAAGTTAATTGTTTTCAAATGTAATAGGTATGTACAAAAAATAAATAATAATAATGATGTGTTTAGTCTACCCCAGCTCAGTATGAACTGAGAAAACATCAAAACATTTACATTTTGCATGATCATAGACGAGGCTTGTTTCCCAGGGTGATCTACATGTTCAACAACTGTTTGTGTTTAAGTACACCTGTTAAACCAGGCACAGTGTGTTCGTCATGTGTCTCTTGAATTGATATATTTTTTTCCCAAGTACTTGAATCAAGGGACCTTTGAAAAAGTTTATTTTTAAATACCAGTTGTAGGAAGATAGCATAAAGACAAACATTTACATTCATTTCAGCAAACAAAACAGGGCCTTCATTTTCGAAGCTCTCTTAGCTCTAAGATAGTCGTGAGTTAACGTTGATGTATGGCATTTACGACTATCTTAGGGCTAAGAGAGCTTCGAAAATCTATGCCCAGGCTTTTAGCATGATTAGGGCTAAATTAATTGATAATCAGAAATATCTAATCATGTTATCACATGTTATCACTATATATTTGTGATTGCACTTTCTCAGTTATGGAAAATATTGTTGCTGGGAAGAATTATTCATGATTATTGATATGAAAACAAAACCATTGATAAACTGTTTTGACAAAATTAAGTTTAATTTTACATGCATAATACAGAAAGTACAACATTATTCAGAGGCAACTTCTAGATTATGTTCAGAAAGCTGTTTCAGTTAATAATCAATGAATTAATGTGTCACCACTTGCCAGTGACTTGAAGTATGGGTATTTTTTCAGACTTTATTTTTCATTTTGCCCCACGTTTCTCCAATTTTTGTGAATAATCGATCAATATTTAGAAAATGATTATTGATGTCAATGATCTATATTGATACTGATAGCTCGAGAGGCTGATATTCCTGTCACTTTTATCAGTCATTTGATAGTTGTTAATCGTTACACACATCATGCACATACAGACCAATGACGGTCCGGGTTAGAACAATGGCCTTCAGTAACCCATGCTTGTCGTAAGAGGCGACTAACGAGATCGGGTGGTCCTTACTGGCTTGGTTGACATGTCATCGGTTCCCAGTTGCGCAGATCGATGCTCATGCTGTTTGATCACTGGATTGTCTGGTCCAGACTCGATTGTTTACAGACCACTGCCATATAGCTGGAATATTGCTGAATGCGGCGTAAAACTCACTCACTCACTCATGCACATACTATTATATTAGTTTGTCTCACAGTCCCTGAACCAAGGTGTTTTCCTTCCTCCCAGCAATTGATGTCATTCATATCTGTAAGTGATGCAGGTCCAGATTTTCTTCAGGTTCTGAATGTCACTAAGGTTCTTCTCCACTTTAAATAGAGTTACTTGATACTGGTATTTGTTTCCATCAACGTTATTTATTTTAAGAGACTCAGTGTTTCTCTAACTATCATGTTAACAGGAACTGATTTTGAGTTTTCTAATTATGATCCAGGAATTTGTGAAAGTCATGCCTCAGTCAAGTCACTAATGGGACTGTCTTACAAGGAAGTGTAATTCTGATCAGTGGTAACCATGGTAACACCATGAACAAACATCAACAAATCATCACGATATATTCAAACACTTTGTTGCACATAATATGTGCATTGATATCATTAAGAATGAAACATTATCAGATTATACTGAAAAAATATATTTTCATTATTGCTCATTGACCGGAATGACCCTGTTGTCTTTTCCACCAATTCCATTGTGCTTTATTGTATAAGTATTACAGTTAATACAGTTAGTTCATTAGCAACATGCTCTTCAAAGAACTCAAGAGTTTAGGGATGTAGGGGAACTGTCAAATTATCACAATTTGTTTCCCTTTACTAGTCCTACATCAAAATGAATTTAATAGAACAAATTGTATCATCAGTGTTATGCTTGACGATCGATAGTCACAATAGTTGCAATTGGTTATTAATAATTGATATGTTATGCAACCTTCAAACCTGCCTGACTGGTTGGACAGCAAGAATAATGATGACTTTGGATTAGAGTTACTTCCCTTCATACTGTTGCAATAGTTTACAAATGTCTCAATACTATTGCAGGATTGCTGGCTACCATTGAAATACAATCACAATAGTGAAAATACCTCTCAATTTGCCTGCCCAAAACACTTAGTTAGAAATTCAAGGTAAATCCTTATTACATGTGGAATGACTGAAAGTGTTCAACTTATTCACCCAATATGTTTATCCTCGCCACTTTACTCATACATTATTTTCAAATCTAAACAAGATTCACAAAGTTGGTAAACAGACCACAAGCTGTATTTCACTAACATCCAGTTAATATGGTTGAGGGGCTGTGGGGTAGCCCAGTGGTCAAAGCATCACGCCGGAGGACCTAGTTCAATTCCCCACATGGGTACAATGTGTAAAGCCCATGTCTGGTGTCCCTGCCATGATATTGCTGGAATATTGCTAAAAGCGGCGTAAAACCCAACTCACTCAATAGTATGGTTGACGTTTTAAAATATTCCCAACCTGCTGTAAAATGTATCTCTCATCATGCTCAGTGGCTGTCATTTATACAAAACCAATCACCATGATTAGCAACTTATCAGATCATAATATTTCTTTGTCATTGCTGTCTTAAGACAGTTACCATGGTAACACATAGTAACTGTCAGCGTTAATAGGTGTTTTGCATGTTATGTGGATTATTTGTGACCTACATCATGTATTTATGGAGAATTCATTTAATATGTCACAACTGGTTTGTTACTACAGAAGCAAAGCCAGGTAAAAAGCTTTTGTTGAACATCATCTACATGAAAGTCTTACTATACACTTTAATCCAGGAGAGCCCTGTGAAAACATCTAGGCATTATTAAAGCTCACATTGTAGGATAGGTAAGAAAATATATGAAGTTTATATATGCTGTTATTCATACACACCCCAGTTGTTGTGATGCCAGATTTTGTTTTACAAGGAGTGCAAAACATATGTTAAAAGTGACTTAGATACATTTTGGAATACACAAGTTGAAATTAAAATGATTTCTAATATGGAGTAGTGTGGAATTGTTTATTACTCAGTTAAACTCACTATATTACCTTATATCAAAGTCTATCTCCAAAGTCTAGTATTTAACAATAAGATGCTAATTCTAAATTTGTTTACACCAAACTAAAGCTACACCAGCTCATATCTCAATATGTCACAATACAGTGGTTTTTTTACAATACCCAACCCTACTAGCGTTATCAAATGGGTGGTCTCTTCATGGGGGAGTCATAATATATACCAGATATACTACAAGCACTATTCAGCTTGTGATAGGGATTTCTGTTTTCCCAGGATTCACCATATTGATTATATTATAGGGTATCAACAATTTAGGTACCATTTCATTCATATTTCTTGTAAATTGTTTCAGAGTACTGATAATTGTAATGTCATTTATATACTTAGTTTCCATTGTATGAAAGTTGCACTTCCTAGAATATAATATAATGTCTATTATTTCAACGCGGCAATAAAAAGACCAAACACAATGAAAATGAACAATAACAGAACATACGAAAACAGTCATGGTATGACTCACAAAATGTACCTGAGGATTCAGACATTTTAGGGATGCGTTCATCTATTATGCAAAGTACATTCCTAAATTACAACTACATATTACTTTATTAGGTAGGTCATTTTATGGATATGTGACATGACATTCACCGAATTCTCAGTTTAATTTTAATTTATTTTGTTTATCCATTGCCTTGGACAATAATGTATAATAAATGTAAAAGCCATTGAAAGACATCATACATATTACTTTATTAGGTAGGTCATCAGGGATATGTGACATGACATTCACCGAGTCTCAGTTAATGTTTATGGTTGCCTTGGGGCAAGACGAGACAAATGTGTTGCACACAGGTTAACAGTCGTTAACCCTGAGACTTGTTTGAGTATATCAGTGACTATAGATTACTGCACATTCACAAACTGTGCACATTTTGAAGACCGTGAGTCACCCATTGTTGTAATCAGCTGTTTTAGTTTTAAGGGTTTGCCATCTTTTGTTCCAGATACGGATGATATCTGTATTGTCGAACGGTTATTTTCAAGCAGTCTGGTTGCCATTGTTAGTCTATCATCACCACGGAAGTTAAAAGTATGTCATTTCAAGAAGGGGACGGAAATCTGCAACTACAGCTACTCAAATTCTATATTAGCAGTCAAGTTAAACCGACAGGTAAGTCCTCCTCCATGCAAGTGGCATTATTCAGATCCCAGAGTGGTTAGTGTTCACGAATGGTGTTTCAAAGTCACAGGACATTGGGTCCTGTAAGTTTCAGATGTCTGTCTGACCCATTGAAAATGCACAGGACCCATGAAATAAAATTATACACACATTTCAGATTTAATATTTCTTATAAATGACATTGAAATTATTAACAAACATAAGATTTATAAACAGCAAACAAGTGTCACATGTCACATAAAACAACCTCAGTCAAAGTCACTGTGAAATATACAGTCAGACACTGGGGCCGGCAGGTTGTAGACTTCTGTCTGACCGTTGGCGAATCTGCCGGATTTGTCAGAGGGTCAGACGCTATTCGTGAACACTGGTGGTTGCCATGATTGTAGTGTGGATTCCAGAAGCCTTCAGTACCCTGTGCATTAATGTGCAAACTACAGTGTGGGGTAGTCATGTGGTTAAAGCATTCACTTGTCACGCTGAAAGCCAGGGTTTGATTCTCCATATGAGTCAGATTTCCCGGTGTGCCCCAGCATGATGGCAGAAGTGTTGCTGAAAGCTAGAACTTTACTCTCTCCAAAGTGTCTTCTGAGAACAAGTACAAATTAGATGGTTTTCCACTCAATATGTCTCAATTGTATCTCACAGCTTTCTAATGTTTCTGGGGCTATACCATGTGTACATATTTGGTATTCCTAGATTGTTTGTTCATGTGGTCATTATGATACTGTAACTGACAATGCTATGGAATTACATTTATGCTGTCACTCAAACAATATTTCATGGTGAAATTGAGTTTTTCCATAAATATGATAAATTATTTTGTAGGTTATTTGTTTGCTTGTTTGTTTGTTTATTTATTTACCAAAGTTTATACGTGGTGAAGATTATACACATGAATAATATGTGTATACGTCAGTGTGATGTGAAAAGTCATGATGATTAGCCAACATAATGGCTATCCACACAAGTATCAAACTATAATATGGTATGCCCTGTACAACAGAGATTAATAGTATGCCTGGAAGAGAGCCTGTATATACACAACATCCGGGACATGAAGGTCCTCCACACAATCAGGGACACTCCCTCCAACCCCATCGGACTCTGCGCTCTCGCCGTCAGCAATGACAACTGTTTCCTTGCCTACCCAGGAAGCAACCAGATCGGGGAAGTGCAGATCTTCGACACGATCAACTTGGTAAGTGAAGTGTGCTTCCACCTTGATGCCATATGTTTTCAGTTTGTAATGAAAATGTTGGCCTGGTGGCTATCAAAGGTATGGATTGCCTAAGTTTAGGCTTCAAAGTGTATGTTAACACAGGGCTACAGATAAAGGGCATACAGGCGTAATGTAAGCCCTCAAAATCAATTAAGTCGACACAATATCAGATTTCAAAGTATGGTCGTAATGCGCACATAAATACTAGCAAATGCGATCTAACATTTAATTTCCGTCGCGTGTCGTGCAAATGGAAATCTATTTGGGATAAATACTTGTTCAGTTTCTTTTGCGAAGCCTGATTTGACACATAAGGAAACACCGACAGTAGGAATCCCTTGCATTGCCATACAGCGATATGCGTCGCTATTTTTCGATTGGCTAAAACTACACTGTTCCTATTTATATTTAAAAAAACTTTACACATTATTAGAGCCCTATCCAAGTATTGTAAGGTGATATCGAGACATTTCGAACAACACCCAAAGTGATTGGATGAAGTAAAGGTCATGGTCACTCAGTGTTAGTTTGGCACAGAATAAGTTTTTATGATAACTCAAGTGTTAATGATTGGACTTTAGTGAAACACAGCATGCACATCTGTTACATGTCTAAGGTTGGATCTTGATTGCATTGACAGCTGTTGGAAGACCTCCATATAAGGGCAGATATCAAGTTATATAACATTGTTAATATTTCATGAAATATAAGGTTATTTCATAAATAATCAAAGGAATATGCAGCCTGTTTAGAATTACTCTGAACACGGTCAATAATTAACTGTATACCTATGTTATACAGGATGGTGTCAAATCTCATTGTTGCTTTGAAGGTCATTCAGTGACTTAATAGTTTCGAAGTAAACATTTGTTTCACAAGTATTTGTAACACAACAATAGTTTACAGGTAGTAATGTTGCATGTAAGTGGATGATGTTTAAAATCAATGTCCCTCAAGGGAAGTAGACATCCCAAAACTGAGCATTTGTGATTTTAATCCTCAGAATTAAGTATCTCTTGGCAGCGCATGACTGAGAGTGAAGGTCAAGGTCATTAAACTGGAAATATTCATCATGCTTAGGGACCATTATGGCTGGGGGTGATGATTTTAAGAAGGGTGTCATTCATTTTGATCTGGGGAGATAGAGGGGTCATCAATTTTGTGCACATGTACTTGGGGTGGGAGTGGGAGGGGTCAGCAATTTTGTAAATAAAAATATTTAAGAATTATGCATAAAAATATGGGCAAGTGTTGGGGTGTCATTGATTTTGTACATGACATATAACATGGGGGGGCATTTGGCATGGGTTTCTTTACAGGAAGTCATGTTGTTAAACTGGAAGTTCTTACATTGGGTATTCATCACAGGTGATTTTTAAAGTGGAAAATATCAAGCATGTCGAGTAAATCACTTTTTCCAAATACTGATTAATGGGACAAGACTTTGTTATTGAGAAATTTGCTGTAGTCATGAAATAGATGAATGGTTTAGGAACAGAGTGTATCTGAGAAGAGTTCTTACACAGTTCCTGTGTTTTCTTTAAGTTGATTCCGCTGTGGGAATGGTAGGAACCCAGCTCGTTAGTGCTTGTTGTTAGCCGGTTTTCAACTTCACTCAGGTAACATATTGGCTAGGGCTAGTCAATACTATAGTCTGTGGCAAAAACTGTTGACAGTACCACCCTGAACCTCACCTGTACCATTTTCAGTAGAATTTGATGTTATTATGTTAACTATTATTTGCTGAGCTTACCAGAAGGTGCAGAATTGGACAAGACTAGGGCAATGGACTAGCGGTGAAGTCACATGCTAACATCGTCATGCTTATCGTTGTCAGCTGTTACATGCCACTGATGCCAGGTTGTGATGATAGCTATGCAGATGGCTTCAAGCAGAGGAACTTGTCTGTATAAATGTCTTGACAGAAATTTATTTCTGAGATAACACAACAGCACATGGATTCCCTTCATTATAACTTTCCTGTCTTTGTGTTTGTTTATGAAAGAGACATAAGTGTTGTTGCAAAAAATGCTGAAGTACTTCAAGACTTGATTCAGAGTTAGCAAGTATTTCACAAACCTTTCAGTTATGGGACAGAAGGGGTCTCCAGTACGCTTATGCCTGTCTCTGAAGTATTGAGAAAATGACTTCTACAGAATATCATTCATGAAACATTGGCAGTGTCTCCTATGCCTGTCTGCCAGGGGCTTGTCAGACCTAATTAGTGTCAGGTGGTTACAAATGTCATGAATTGCTGCTCATGCTGTTGATCACTGGACTGTCTGGCCCAGATTTGATTATTTACAGACCACGGCCATACAGCTGGAATACTGCTGAGTGTGGTGTTAAACAACAAACCAACCAACTGCTCATACTATTGACCATTGGATCAAATATTCACTCTTCACCAACCCATGTTTGTCATTGAGAGGCAGCTAATAGGATCACATGGCCAGGCTCACTGATTTGGTGGATGTCTCTCATCATGTCACAATGTTTATACAGATCGATGTTCGTGATGCCAATCATTGAATTGTTGGGTTGAGACTTGATTATTTACAGACTGCCATCATATAGAAGGAATATTGCTGAGTGTAGCAGTAAGCAACAACAACAGCATCAACATGCATGATTATTCACATGTTGCATGTCTGTGACTGAAATATGGCTGCCTGCATCATCACACAACACTTATTCATCTGACCTTATTCTTGCAGAGGGCAGTGACCATGATCCCAGCTCATGACAACCCCTTGGCAGCCCTAGCTTTCAGTGCAAAGGGAGACAGATTGGCTACAGCCTCAGAAAAGGTATGTCTCTTATAGTGCGATAAACAGGAACATTTAGAAACCATTACATGATGATAAATATCTAATCAATTGGAAATGGTCAGTAAAAAGCAAAAGCAGATACATTGTAGTTCTGCTGGCACTATTTGAAAATATGTGGAACGTAAGAAATTGATGCATATTTTTACTAGTCCTGAACCCCAATCCACAAAGTGTTCGTGGAATTACAGCATTCGCAATCCTCTGATAAACTATATAGTTAAGATAGCTTGTAACGCTGCGAACACTTTGGACCCTGATATGTTGTAATTTAGACCAACAAGGAAATGCTACTGATCCTTCATGAAATTACTTCATAACACATGTTGATGTTTATGTTATGTACAAGAAAATGTATGTAGATGTATGGATATCTTTATTTGTGTAATAAAATACCTTTCCATCGCTGTCCAGGGAACAGTCATTCGGGTCTTCTCTATACCAGATGGCCAGAAAATCTTTGAGTTCAGGAGAGGGGTGAAAAGGTCAGTAGATACGTTATTCATTTAATATGACATATTTTTCCTTATCCTGACTCATGCTTATATGCTTATCTCCTTCCTCTATGCGAATGGTAGTGGAACACTTGAATCCCTTGAAGTTCCCGAAGAGGACGTAAAAGTTCACTCACCCACGAGTTGCCTCCCTTTCCCCGCGCAAACAGTCATCTGACCTGCCATGCTTGTCACTCTCACCTTCAACCATCCGCTTGGGCGAGCACTGGAGTCCCGTATACGGCACCATATCCTTTAATATTTAGATCCTTTTATCCAAATTCAGCTGTGTATGGTTTCTGGTTATATTTAACTTTAATTGTAAGCCAAAATTTTGAAAAAATTATTCATATTTTACATTTGATGAAATCTTGCAGTGGTTGCAGGTACCGGTTATCAGCGGCTGATCCTCACCCCCAATGTCCGTCATGTATTAGTCCATGTTCTTCCAGCTTGCGTAGCAGATATTGTATTAATTTACCAGATTGGCAATTTAATCGTTATTTGTCTTACTTTTTTAAACGTGCGATGGTTTCTAGATAAAAAGCCGGTAACCTTATGTTGTTAACTACTGCTGTAATTCATAACGCAGGTGATTTGCCGAGTACGTTCCAGGGACAGTCGGCTGTGGCTAGTCGGGACTCAGCCAGGTCCAAGAAGAGATCTGCTTCTACTGAGATTGACGCCAGCGGGGAGTAAGAAAAAGATGTCCTCATTGTCTGCGACGAAGAAGAAGTCATCTTCATCTAGAACTTCGTCGAAGTCAACTGCGTTCCAGTAAAACAACGCAGAGGTCGATTAATGAAGACATTGTGCCTCCTGACGAAGCAGATGTTTATGCTGACCCCCCGATACTGCTACCTGAAGTACCAGTAAGATCATCGACACAGTCTACTTCCACGGCGACACGATCGTCCCCTGCAACCTCGACAGCCGTTCAACTATTTGAAGATCAGCCGTTAGCAACGCAGACGTCTGTCAACATAGACAACGACAGCGTAGCATCGTCGCAGTTGCAAGTAGACTCACTTGACGCCTCAGCGTTCTTTACCGCTTCATCTACACCGCATATCAGTTCCGGCCTACAACGCAGAAGTTCGACCCAGGTGACATTATGAGTCAGTTTACAACGCAGATGATGGCGATGATGGAGCAGATGTTCGCTGAAGAGAGAGCATCCCTGAGTCTACGAGAGGTTCGGCGAACATCCCAGAATCTACAAGAGGTTCGTCGAACGTCCCTGAGTCAACTAGAGGTTCTGCAAACCCTAACGTTTGAGAACGTCAGACGGAGGAAGATGCCCCTCGAGATCCAGTCGTTCTACATAAGTATCCCACAGCACTCATACACACAGATCAGCGTCGTCACGTTCATACGAACATTTGTGGAAGGAAGGTTCATCAAGCGTCACGTTCAGTGAAGGAAGGTTCACGGAAGGAAGGTTCACCGAACCCGGAAGTATCTGAGGAAGAGGGCCACTTCATCTTCTCGGAAGCAGAGGTCACATCGTGGATTGCTAATAGACTGGACTGGACTGGACTCCCCTCCAAGGAATTGGATGCAGCATTCACATACAAGATGTGGAATGATGACTTCGACACCCTCATGATTCCACCAATTGAACCGATCTCCAAGGTGTCTGCTAACCTCCATGCAGCGTTTGAGAAAAGCAACCCGACACCAGAATCAACATCTACCTACATTCAATGCTAGGAGGTTCCCTCTGCATCATATGGACCCTTTTTGAGAGCACCAGCTTGGATGATAACATGAAACTGATCAACGACTCCCAGAATAAGTCTTACAAAGTGGAAGACAAGAAAATTGCTCAACTCGACACCACGACTAGAAGAACTTTGGCTTGGCGAGATCCAGGGCGATCAACGAGATGTTGATATCCAGATTCCAGAACCCCAAGACGGAGGAAGATAGAATGATTCTATCTGCACTATTAACTCGGAAAAAGGACCAGGACTTCATGTCGGATCACTTGGTCTCAACATCAGCGGGTCTCACTCTGCTATGAAGACAAGGTCTACTATCATCATGTTCCTGGAGTGACAAGGTTTACCCAACCACTACTAAGAGTTCCTTGGGCAGCGCCTACTATCTTCGGCGGAGAGATCGATGAAGTTGCCAGGAAAGTTACACATGATTCCAGAGAAGTCATGATGATCAAGTCCATTGACACGTTGGCCAATGTCATTTGTCAAACGTCACAGAGATACAGCAACAAGTCTAAGTTCTCCGGTATACAGAAGGCGAAGAAGAGGAAATATTCCAGCTCCAGAAGTGGAAAAAGCTCTTTTCGTCACTCATCCGGAAACAGCAGAGGCAACTCTGGGAGAGGACGTACTCCCAGAGGCTTCAGAGGATCAAGACATTGAAGATGGGGTTCGGAACGACTGGACGCTTCCACCCCCAACTGTTCCTGTTCAACCGTCGACAGTGGGTGGACGTTTACAATATTACTGGGAAAATTGGGGAATATTGGAGGATGACTACGTCTCACAAGTACTGCGAGAAGGCTACAGAGTGAAGCTGAAGGTCACACCACCACTGACCCTCGACCCTGTAGTCTTCAACTACGCAGACGATCAGGCAGTAAAGTTAGAAGAAGCCATCAACTCTCTATTGGCCAAGAACGCTGTAGAAGTGATAGATCAACATCATCTGACGCCCGGCTTCTACTCCCCAATTTTCCTAGTACCCAAGAAAAACTCCAAAGAGAAGTTCAGGTATAGAACATGAAAACATTCAACCAAAACTATCTACTCAAGCCAGAGAGATTCAAAATGATCCACCTGCCTCAACGCAGACAACTCGTCCGTCCAGCAGATTACTTGGCCAGCATAGACCTACAGGATGCATATCTACACATCCCGATTAATCCAGAATCAAGAAAGTACCTAAGATTCCTGTTCAGATGTCGTCACTACCAATGGAGCGTCTTACCGTTTGGAATATTGTCAGCTCCGTGGTTATTCACACTAGTGACCAAACCCATCGTCACCTATCTACATCGTCGAGGTCTACGCAGTGCCTTCTACCTGGATGACGGGATACAAGTTCATCAGGAAGCCAATCAACTCAGACAGCAGCTAGACTTCACCATCAAACTGCTCACACAACTGGGATAGCTAGTAAACTTGATGAAGTCAGAGTTTGAACCAAAGCAAGATCTTCAGTTTCTGGGAATAAGGTTCATCACAACACAGAATCGTATTGTGGTCCCAGAAGATCGTTGGGTCAAGATTCAAGCCATGATTCCAGAAGCAGTCATCTCTCCGTTACCACTACAAACATGGCAGTGTCTACTCGGTCTACTCACCTCAGTGCAGGACCTGACTCGCAGAGGAAGACTACAATTACGTCCGTTGCAGCGATTCCTGGCAGGACACCTGGACAGCACGGACCTGATCTTCATACTACACCGTCTCAAGACATACCTGTAATGGTGGATTCACAAATCGAATGTCTGCGGAGGGACCTATTTACAAGAGCCGGTCTGCGACACACACCTCTACGTAGATGCCTCACTACAAGGATGGGGAGCGCATCTCGACAACGAAGTGGCATCAGGGATGTGGTCGAAACAAGAACATCTTCACATCAACCAACTGGAGATGAAAGCTGTGATCAACGCCATTCAACTGGTCGACCACTGGTTCACACATGCTGGCGGTCAACTCAAACAGTGGCATTTTACATAAATCAATGGCGGTCAGGGATCAATGAGATCACCAAGCCTGCTCCAGCTCACATTCCAGTTGTTCAACATCTTAGACGAATTAAACATCTGGCTAAAGACGTGTCACATCCCGGGAGCCAAGAATGTGCTAGCAGACGCTCTATCTCGCCCACTTCACACAGAAAACTCTGTTCCTCCTGCGCCTTAGCCATGGCAGCTCGGATGTCTGAAATACTTGATTCACTTGTCTTAGAGAAGTATGACAAGAATGTGGTTCCCCGAGTTGACAAAGGAAGTTGGAAGAATAGGATCTAGGAAGTGCTGTTACGCAGTTCGGGGGGGGGGGGGATACAGGACGTATCTAAGGACAGCTGATGAATCCACGAAGTGGCTTGACCCACCACCGATTCCTTCGGATTCTGGAAACATATGAGCATGAGTCAGGATAAGGAAAAATGTGTAATTTTTTAAGTAAAATTGATATTTTATACTTATCCTGACTCGTGGTGTCAAGCCCTCCCAACCTCCTCGCTGAAGACACTTTGGATTTCACAGTAAACTCAGGTACTAGGGCTTATTCAGAAGAGAGTGACAAGCATGGCAGGTCACATGATTGTTTGAGCGGGAAAAGGCAGGTAACTCGTGGGTGAGTGAACTTTTACGTCCTTTTCGGGAACTTCAAGGGATTCAAGTGTTCCACTACCATTCGCATAGAGGAAGGAGATAAGCATATAAGCATGAGTCAGGATAAGTATAAAATATCAATTTTACTTTAAAAATTACATAATTGTGAAAACTTATGAATTGAAATTTGTCATTACTGTCAAAATATATCAAATTGTTTACAAGAACGAATAATCCTTCTGTGTCATCTGTTCTGACACCTATCAATATTTCAAGGGAAATAACTCTGTCTTAAAATGGAATTATTGTTCCTTTTGTGACTGATTGATTGATAAAGAAGGTGCTTGTTTTAGCATAGACCTTGTGTAGTGGAATAAATCCTTAGTACACCATGTTCGTTTAGATGGTAATAGTGTGTGACAAAGGCCCTCGTCCACAAAGTGATCTTAGTGCTGAAATGTTTGCAACTCTAATAGACTATTAAATGACTCTCTTAGTCCTAAGATAGCTTTGTGGAATGGATCCAGTGAATCAGGATTGATGTCTTCAACTTCTGGTCTTCATGACCCAGACTTTTGTGCAGATTGCTATCAAATAGCTGGAATACTGCTGAAGATAAGCTCAAATGTGACAGATCCAGGACCCTGTCCTACAAAGTAATATTAGCTCTAAGACCATTATAACTTTATTTTGGCCTGCAGCGGGGTAGCCTGGTGGTTAAAACATTCGTTCGTCGTGCTAAAGACCCGGGTTCGGGATATTGCTGGAATATTGCTAAAAGCGGTGTGAATCTAAACTCACTCACTATAACTTCCTTTCTTTAACATAGATTTTTCAATGCACCTGACACTACAGTGACATTGTGGAACTGGGTTCAGGACACGTGTTTAAGTACTTAGCCTGTTGCAGGTGTGTGAGCATCAACTCGCTGGGATTCAGCACGTGTGGGCTGTACCTGTGTGCCTCCAGTAACACAGAGACAGTTCACATCTTCAAGCTGGAGATCATGAAGGACAAGTAAGTTCTTAGGGACTTCCACTCATTATCAAACTGGCTTTAGGCAGTATTAGGTAAAGTCTTAACAGTCCAGGGATTTAATTCTTCTTAATGTTGCTTAAAATTTGTTTCTGAAGTCCTAATTTTCTTTGCCTTATAGATTCAAAGTGTATAAATGAAATAGATATACAAGCATTATGTCTTTTATGAATACATCTCTGTCAAAGGACAGGTAGAGAATGGCAATTTTGCTCAGATATCCATAAAATGTGCTGCAAGAAACAACAAAGCCCCTCCTAGACTGCTTATGATGCTTGTCAATTTGCAACCTACATTTTGAAAAATGATTGATTTGACATTACAGTTTCTATCTGAACATTGCTATGGCTACTTTAACATATTCCCAGACATTCAGATTCTTTAGTGTTCTATATTGTATTTAAGTAAATGGATGCTTTTGATATTGCAAAACATCTTGTTAAAACTGATGTAGTCCTTGGTTGGAGCTCTGGAAATGAAGGTTATTTTTCACAAACTTTATTAGATACATTCATTCCTGCCATGTGTTACTGCACGAAAAATTTGTAAACAATGTTTATGATCGTCCAAGTCATATTGTCTGGAATACCAAGTTGCTGGATTTATTGTCAGTTTATACCACCTGTTTGTAAGTATGTGGATGTGTCCACCTGTGGTGGAAGCCTTGTTTCTATATTCAACTGACATGGTCCATACCTGTATAATGTTTCCTGTGTCCACCATCCTGTGATTCCTGTGTCTGTGCATGCGATTGTATGGTTGTTGTAGACCCCCGGAGGAGCCACAAGGTTGGATGGGATACTTTGGCCAGGCTCTGAAGACATCAGCAAACTACCTGCCAACACAAGTATCCGACATGTTGAATCAAGGGAGATCATTTGCCACAGCCCGACTGCACACGTCTGGCCTCAAGAATGTCTGTGCCCTCTCTGTGTGAGTTCATCATTGGAGCAACCATCTGATTTTCATTTAGCTGCGAAGGTCCGGGTTAGAATTGATCTTCAGTAACCCATGCTTGTCGTAAGAGGCTGACTAACGGGATCAGGTGGTCAGGCATGCTGGCTTGGTTGACACGTTATCGGTTCCCAATTGCGCAGATTGATGCTCATGCTGTTGAATACTGGATTGTCTGGTCCAGACTCGATTGTTTACAGACCACCGCCATATAGCTGGAATATTGCTGAATGCGGCATAAAACTAAACTCACTCACTCACTCTGATTTTCATTAAATCAAAGCATGCTAATCCAGTCTTACTCCACCTTTAGAATGGTTTAGAAAACTACTTGATTCTAAGGGACTGGTATTCTGCAAAAATGTGTCTGTTTGAAACTATTTTCAGAATTATTGAGAATTCAAAACCAACAAATACCTCTCGTAATGTTCTGAGCACATGAAGGTGGGTTTGTGAGTTTGCCTTTGCCAGTTGTGACAAGTAGAGATTTGTATGGACGTTGTCTTTGAAGCTTTCATAGCAAGGCCTTTCAATGATGACAGTTTTCCTTGATTCATCAATGCCAACTTAAGCCTCTGTTTGTGTGCGTTTCAGAATTCACAAGATTCTACGGCTGTTGGTGGCTTCACAAGATGGCATTTTGTACATATACAACATTGATCCTAATGAGGGCGGAGAGTGCACTCTGGTCAGACAACACAGGTACACTATGTGACATATATTACAAATACATAACGTTGTTACATCATTGCCAGATCATTCAGCTGCTGTTGAATGTCTAGAAGATTTTCTAGTGTGACAACAGCTCAAATACAGGAACTTTGGCAGTAAGTGAGTTTAATTTTTCGCCGCTTTTAACAGTATTCCAGAAATATCACGGCAGTGAACACTAGAAATGGGCTTCACACAGTGTACCCATGTGGGGAATCGAACCTGAATCTTCGGCGTTACGAGCGAACACTTAACCACGAGGCTACCCCACCACCCTAATTTTGGCAGTGATGTAATAGAGGTAGTAGTGTTTGAAATGTTAGCTCTGATAGCCCTTGTTTGATGCTCAGGTTGGATCTAGGTCATATGTGTCACACAGGAACATGCTCATATATTGATGTATCTGTCGTATACAGGTACATGCTAGGGCACATATCTCATACAGGTGCATGGTAAGGCACATATCTCATGCTGGTACATGCTAGGGCACATATCTCATACAGGTGCATGGTAAGGCACATATCTCACACTGGTACATTATAAGGCACATATCTCACACTGGTACATGCTTGGGCACATATCTCAAACAGGTGCATGGTAAGGCATATATCTCACTGGTACATGCTAGGGCACATATCTCATACAGGTACGGGGTGGTGGGGTAGCCTAGTGGTTAAAGTGTTGGCTCGTCACGCCGAAGACCCGGGTTCGATTCCCAACCTGGGCACAATGTGTGAAGCCCATTTCTTGTGTACCCCGCCATGATATTGCTGGAATATTGCTAAAAGCGGCGTAAAACTAAACTCAGTCAGTCAGTCAGTCATACAGGTACATGGTAAGGCATATATCTCACTGATACATGGCAAGGCACATATCTGACTGGTACACATGATAAGGCATATACCTCATACAGGTACATGGTAAGGCATATATCTCACTGATACATGGCAAGGCACATATCACACCGGTACATACTAGGGCACATATCTCACTGATACATACTAGGGCACATATCTCACACTGGTACAGACTAGGGCACATATATCACACTGGTACATGTTAGGGCTCATATCTCACACAGGTACATGCTAGGGCACATATCTCATTTCTGCATAACTCACAGAGTTTTGCACAATCATAGGGTCAATTTGCTCTTGACATTTTTTCAATGACAGACCGGTGGGTCATGGTATTTATATGTTAAAGGAAAGCAGCAATGATTTTGATGACTAACTGTGAGTCTCTGTCCCTCAATTACAGACTTGATGGTCAACCTTGTGACACCCATCCATCGGAGGCTCCGTCACATGACCGGCCACTAGCACACCCCGGTGCCACGTACGCATCCACGGTGAGACGCCCCCCAGACCAGGCAGCAGGGGGCCCACCATCAGGTAAGCCCGAGGCTCCGCACCAGCCGGTGCTGGGGGTGGAGAGTTATGCGGAGGTGTTGAAACGGCAAGGCGGGCCACAGGATACTTGTGCAATTATGGAGGAGCTCCTAAGTGCTAAAGGTATAGTATGGCATCATTGTCTCTCATCACGCACGGTCCAGACCCCAGCTGCTGGTCGATAGACCATCGTCCCTGCTAGGTGGTAGTGGCCTCTATGTGCGGAGGTGGAGGCCATTCTTTGCCTGACAGTGCACATTGTTACTTTAACTTCTGGACGCTGGATGTTTCTTTCTTTGTAGTGGAGTTTGATCTTTTGTGGCACTTTGACTAATCCAGTGTGACGTTGTAATTGACTTTGAAGACTTCAGTTATAGATAGTCCCTATAGTATCCTGTAGGTTCATTTTTATCACAGTTGCCATGGAAAGTGTCAAATTTCTCTTTTACATTAAACAAAATTAATATTTCTTTAAACTTTAAAGAAATGTGATTCTCCATGTTCCTATGTGATATTCATGCCTTTTTAAAGGATTGCCTTTATACTACTAAAACCTGTGCTTTATAAACTAATGTATGTTCAGAACTTGTCATCTTTTATTAAAATACAATAGACAGTTGCTGGAAGTGATACTGTTTTCAGGTAATGATCAGTTTAATACTAAAAGGACAAAAAACATTATTCTCCAAATCCAGACGGGTTTTTTTCACCGAACATGTTTGTTCATCTGAATAATTTGTTTTAATAGGGTCCAGAAGTTAAGGTTTTCTTGTGTAGGTGATCATGTCTGTAAAGAGGTGCACGGCTATGTCCCTCATCATGTGGATGTCCCACAGTAGATAGGACTCCTTCTACTAATACCATAACTCATCTCATCATGCCATGATGTCATCAGCTGCTTCATTTCAACTCAACTTCAATGCGAGGTTTGTTAATGATGAAAGATATGAGTTAAAAAATCTAACAAAGAATGACTATTACCCTCTTATGTGATTAATATAATGTATGTGATCTGTATACACTGTGCTGAATAGAACTGCAATTATAGAACAATAAAACTTCCACTGGCAGAATGAAATACATGTCAGTGAGTGAGTTAAAATTTAAAGTCACATTGGTAATATTTCGGTCATATTGTGACTTTAAAGGTTAATAATTAATAATGAATGCAATTAAATTATAAAAACCTGTCAACAAAGGACAGTAAAACCAACTAGAATATCACATTATCAAGAATTAATGCTAGAACCTCTCTCTGGATTTCAAATTGGGACAATACAGAAGAAAAATGGGCTATAGATTGCCAACAACTGAAGGTAGATCACCATACTAGGGATCATGGGGATTTAAAGTGCCCTAGCTGGATTTACTCTATCCCTTCAGATGTTAGCGATAAGAAATACTTGTGAATGTAAATATATTTATCATGTTTGGCCCTTTACCATTTAAACAAGAATAAACTTCTATATTTGCCTTGTTATTATCCAACTTTTCGACTGGTATAAAGAATTTTCAATCACAAAAGTATATTTCTGTTTATATTTTGATTCAACACTGTATGGCCCAAAAAATTTTTAAAATGTATTTAACAAAAGTTGTAAACCACATATACACCTTGAAATGAAATTAACATTGTTAAAGTACATCAGGGTTTTATATATGACTATAGTCCGTTTGGCTCAAAAGCGGACCGATGAATTGCAATGTAACTTCGAAAACTAATAAACATATAATACTCAATGAAACGCTGATCATAATCAAAACATCAGACCAACTATGTGGTTTGTTTGCAGAATCTATGTCCTAAAATTAAAAAAGTTGTTTAACAAACTATCATTAAAATTTTGACACAGTTCACTATCTGTTACGAGGGAGGAGCGCAGAGAAAGGGACAGCCAGGTGTTAGAGAAGCACGTGCACAAGTGCCCACCAAGTTATTGATTCATTAACCTGTGCTGTGCCATCTCCATCCTTTCTCGCACACCTGGCTGTCCCTTTCTCTGCACTCCTCCCTCGTAAGAAATAGTGAACTGTGTCAAAATTTTAATGATAGTTTGTTAAACAATCTTTTTATTTTTAGGATATAAATTCTGCAAAAACCTCACAGAGTTGGTCTGACGTTTTAATTATGATCAGCGTTTCATTGAGTATTACATGTTTATTAGTTTTCGAGTTAGATTGCAATTCATCGGTCCGATTTTGACCCAAACGGACTATAGTTAATCTGTCATGTTTGACAAATAAACTAATTATGTGAAAAAATGGATGTTCTATAACTGCTTGTGAGCTGTAAAATATTTACAATGACTGTAATGCTGGAAATATAAGTCATGTAGATGGTTAAAGATTAGTGTGATAAACAGTACTGTATTTTGCTAGCTAAGCATGGTAGAGAATTTCAATCATGCACACAAATAATATTACCCTTTTCAGTTTAATATCACTTTTTTGTCTTTTTTTGTTGTTGTTAGTTTGGCTTTAATTCATGACACAAATTTGTTTTGATCATGCAACATGTATCCTCACAGTTTATGCTATGGCACTGGGGATAGTTGCTCCTGTGTTTAGAATAGATATACTTGGTAATAGGTGATGCAACTGGAGATAGCTGCCCTTATATTTAATATAGACATACTGGGTAATTGATGATGCAACTGGAGATAGTTGCCTTCATATTTATCCTCCGCAACGCGTTTTGTGGGGGTATTAAAATGCACTCCGTCCGTGTGTGCGTGCGTGCGTCCGTCCATCTGTCCGTGCACATTTGTCTTTTCCAGAGCAGAACTTCAAAACCGTTCACTATTTCTTCACCAAACTTGGCACACAGATATATCTGGTGATGTACTGGTGCCTTTTGGTAGATTGAAATTCTGAAGAAAAATATTTTTTTGCGTTTCCATGGCAACAAGTTTGACTTTGACTGAAATTGGGGTTGTGCTCTTTTCCGGAGTAGAACTTCAAAACCGTTCACTATTTCTTCACCAAACTTGGCACATGGATAGGTCTTGTGGTGTACTGGTGCCTTTTGGTAGTTTTGGAATTCTGAATAAAATATGTTTTGCATTTCCATGTCAACAAGTTTGGCTTCAACTGAATTTGGTGGTTGTGCTCCTTTCTGGAGCAGAACTTAAAAACCTTTCAATACTCTCCTTCCACTTTGTCATATACACACCAAAACATTTGACATAATCGTAATTAGTATACATATTCATGAAGAGTATTTGGCCATTGCGGGGGATATTGATGACTTTGTCTTCTTGTTGATATAGACATACTGGGTAATAGGTGATGCAACTGGGGATAGTTTCCTTCATATTTGATATAGACATACTGGGTTATTGGTGATGCAACTGGAGATAGTTGTCCTTATATTTAGTATAGACATACTGGGTTATTGGTGATGTAACTGGGGATAGTTGTCCTTATATTTAGTATAGACATACTGGGTTATTGGTGATGCAACTGGGGATAGTTGTCCTTATATTTAGTATAGACATACTGGGTTATTGGTGATGCAACTGGGGATAGTTGTCCTTATATTTAGTATAGACATACTGGGTTATTGGTGAAGCAACTGGGGATAGTTGTCCTTATATTTAGTATAGACATACTGGGTTATTGGTGAGGTAACTGGGGATAGTTGTCCTTATATTTAGTACAGACATACTCGGTTATTGGTGAAGCAACTGGAAGAAATTGTCCTTATATTTAGAATAGATATACTGGGTTATAGGTGATGCAACTGGGGATAGTTGTTGTTATATTTAGTAGAGACATACTGGATTGCAGTAAGATAGAGATCCCAGTCTGTACTGTACTTTGTGAATGGTGATGCTCTGGGATAGAAATGCAGGACAGCTCTGCTCTATTTGTATTCTGGGTGTGTGTCATGCCTAAGATTGGCCCTGTTTGGTGTTATAACAGTCAATGAGGTTTTCAATATTTTGTAACAGTGTGTCTGTCCATTCGTCAGGTGACACTGCTGAAGTTGGACACTCACCTGTCTTAGTAACTTGACATACAGGGAATGTACAATATATATGGGTATAACATTAAGTACTGGGACATTTGGCTCCATCATCAAACATCATTCGCAGCAGGTTCATCTGATCATTCATAATCTCATTCCTCCCTGGCTGTTGCCTTCATTATGTTACAGGTGGAAGCTGATCAAATATTTCTCAATTTATTTTTATAGTGTAGTTTTGATTATAGAAAACTGATATGCTTTTGAAGCCAATAGTTTCATTTATTCATGATATTGGATAGTAATTTTGAGTAATTTGTTTTTGTTCATCAAGCTTTGGCCTACATGGTTTGTAGTATTCTTCAACATGTAGTGGGTTTTCAGGTTAGATTTGGTCCCTGTCAATGTAAACCTGTTGTAGTTGGTGACCAGTTGTATCAGGTGGTCAGAAAGTGTGACATGGTGTGTTGTGTTGTCAACTTACACCATTTGAATGGCTTGTTACCCATAATCTTAATCAGTGATTTGTCTGGTCCAGATGTTGATTAAGGGCATAATTTTGTTGATGGTGGATTTTATGCAATAAGCAAACAAATGTGTAAACTTTTATTCTCCTTTTCTTAAAAAAGTCTTTCCTACCCATAGAATTAATTGTTTCATCGGCATTCTAGAAGTTGGTGAGTAAAAAATGAAGCATACAGCTTTATGGATGACAACTTCTTGTTTATTGCATGACATAACCCAGGCAACTTCTTGAAATAACCTATAATAGTATGCTGATTGTTCTCTTTTGGCGATTGGTACCTCAGATTTGAAGCGTTGTGTATTCCTAATATTGTTGTGAGGCTAAATCTGTTGATAAAGATTCAGCAGATATTCAGCGACGTTTTGGCACAGCATGTTATATCGTACATTGTCAGTCAGGCCTGAGTTGTATTTGTCATATCAAAATGTTATGCATGTGGGAGACATGACACACTGCTCATGGCATTAAACTGCTTGTTGGGCACCACTGACAGCTCTGCATGGTGCGACATGTTTCACAACCATTGATGGGGCGGTGGGGTAGCCTTGTGGTTAAAGCGTTCGCTCGTCACGCCGAAGACCCGGGTTTGATTCCCCACATGGGTACAATGAGTGAAGCCCATTTAGGTGTCCCCTGCCTTGATATTGCTGGAATATTGCTAAAAGCAGCATAAAACAATATTCACTTACTCACCACAACCATGGATGGAGTTTAACATGAGTAGCTGGAGAATATGTTTATGGACTATCAATTCCTTAGTTACTGCATGGCCAGACAAGACACAATTTCTTATTTACAGTCAAAACAGTGTGTCCAGAACTTTTGACTGTCAAATGACTGACTTACCTGTGTCCATTTTGAATCTTAGATAGTGTTGGAAGATGACAAGTATTTGGTCTGTACTTGGCTAGTGGATAGGTGTAGGATGAGTTGACCTTATGTTGATCTTATGTAGCTACAACCATAGTTCTAGAAACTATCCCTTCCAGACACCTCTTGAACGATCAGGACCACCATGTTTGTAACCAACCAGGGTAGGTAACTCTTAAATTCTTCTCACTGAGTGCTACTGATAGTATGCAACATTTTACCTGCACTTTAATCATTTGCTGCCACATAACAATTTGGAAAGTTCTGCAGTATTCGTTTACAGTTATCATGGAATTTGTTTCATGGGAAAGTATGAGCAGAGTAGGCACAGTTCCATTGGTCTTTTGTCTGGAACCAGACAAATGTAAATATATTTTGGAAACAGCAAGTGAGTCAGAAACCTTTTCAGAATTGTGTATGTGGCAATCAGACAGACAGACATGCAGACAAACAGACAAACAAATATGCATGACATTAGGTTTTAGAGAAAACTTCAAGATTTTTGTAATGGGCACACTTGGGACAATGATGACACTGCAAGAGTAATGAAGGTGAAGCAGTTTTCTGGTAATAGGTAGACCAGTTATTTAAGGAGACAACAGTTTAAACCCAAGGTGTGCCTGGAACCTAAGCTCAAGGGTTCAATCCACAAATTTGTACCATATCACTGTTCATGGAATTCCCCAATGTTGTGAATGTCTCAGACCTCCACCACTACGTGATTTCCTGACATGTAGTGACACATCTCAAAAAGCATGCATTCATTCATCTAGGTGAAATTTGTCAGACTTTAGTCCTGTGTACTATCATTTTCAGGTGCATCCTTTCAGTTGAGCTTGTGATGGAGTTGCTTGATGACTGGTCACGGTTTCATCATAGTTGTGGATAATCTTATTAGTAGTTGAAAGTAATTGCTGAATCATGCAGCAAATATATGGTAATTGCACAAATATCCAGGTGTAAATGAGGGAAAGTTACAGTGGTACAAGGCAGCTGACTACTGTCATAGCTATGTATTCTAGCATCATCATTACTTTGTGGTAAATCTTGTGTAGATCATGAAATTATGGTGAGTCTAAGAGAGGCATATACTATTTGACAAAAGTGTTTGAATTTCCTATATTTATTGTGTTAAAGTGACTCATTGTGTATAACATGTACTTGAGACAATTATATTGTGTAGAATTATATGAGACAATTATGTTTCTATATAAACAGTGTTAAAGCACAACTCTTGTAATGAAGTGATGATTATATGACCTCCCCCTAAAGGAACAGTGCCTATCACTAGTGCAAAGCAACGAATGCATGCACACCTCCATCATGTCCATACCTGTCTGTTCTTGAGGTACAGTGGCTGAGTCCTCCACGAAGATCCAAGTTCAAATTTGTCTTCATTAACCATGATTGTCGTAAGGCCAACTAGCAGGTGGTTAGGCTCCCTGACCTGATTGATGCATGTCATTGCATCCCCTTTTTTTCTTCACCTTATGCTCACAATGTCAGTGACTCTCTTGTCTGGCCCAGACTCGATATGTTACAGATTGACTTCACATAACTGGAATGTTTGCTCTGTAAACAACAACAAGAGGAACTAGTTTTATAGATTGACAACATACATTATCACAGGTCTCTCCATAGAACTTGTTCCCCTTCATCATACTAGCTTCTGAATGCCACTTAAAGAAGTTTGTACATAACAAACAGACGTACAGTCTGGAGCACATTTAGTCAGAGGAAAATCATCTGAAGATTGTGTGCAAATTATCCTAGGCTCAGTGGTTCAGGGATGGTGTAGATTGAAACCGTTGTTGTTTACCTTTAGACAATATACCACTGTTATTTCTTGAATACTGGTAATACTCATGTTCCAAAGTGTGACTGTAGCATAATTAGTTACTGTCCAGAAAATGTTGAAAGTTGTACATATCTGGAATCTTTACTACCAGTAGCCAGGTTCATTTATGAAACAGTTAACCTACTCTGCTGAAGCATGGAAAACATATTTTTTAACTGGTAGTTGACAAATTTGTGACACAGGGATCATGAAAAGTGTTCACTATTGTCACAATGCCAATTGAAAGCATGATACAGGAATGTTTGTAGAAAGTGTCTGAATATGATGTAGATGAAATCTTCTGCTCTTATTCCCACAAAAAAGCTAGTTAATCCATCTTGCTCTAACAGTGGTAACTAACTGAATGCAACAGCATCATGTTATGATTGATAATGATAATGTGATATGACTTGTTCTGAGGGATCACATCAAAGCTGGATTTCATTCACACTTAGCAGGCTTCATGGCAGATATATATTATATATAATATGCCTATAAATTTGATACTTAAGTATTTAGCTTTGCAAACTCGTGACCACGTTGAGTTTAGTGTAAATTCAGAGAAAAGTTGTGTTTTAGAGAGCTAACTTTGTGAATATTATGTCTTCATGTTTTGATTTTGGGTAATATTTGTGTTATTCTTAATTCTAGTTGTGTATATTAAATATGCAATCTATATATTAAAAATAGTCTTAACCTGACTTTATGAACATCTAAAAGTCCCATTTGACAACGGTTAAACTGTCTTGGCCATGAAGTCTGGTGTTCTTTGACTTCCTTTGAGTAATGTCTACATCAGCACTGATTTTAATTAGGTTCTTCAGTTAGGTCTTAAAATGAATATTGACAGTGATATTAAATGATGAAATTTAAACATGAAGAAATATTGTAATGATAGCAGAGACATATGTTCTAGATTTGAAGGTGTTTCTCTGAGACAAGACAACTGAGATATTTGTGTTTACTTTGCAGAATCTCAGCCCTATCAGGAGGAGCTTGAGGGTGCCGTGGGCGGGGACGGTGTAGAGGGACAAGGCATTGCTGCACTACGATTGGACGATGATAATGAGTTTCCTCCAATGACACACAAGACTGATTGATCTTTGAAGTTCATTGGCTGAATACAGATGTCACATTTACATTGATTAGTTACAATTAAAATGAACATTGACAGATAGAAATACTGTAACTATCATTTAATGCAAATATACAAGATAGATCTAAATTGACTGACTTTACTTAGCATTATAATATGATGAAAATTCTTCAAATTTTGATTTAATTTATTCATTTATATAACAAAGAAATACAATGGATTGGGGGAAAAATAAGGTTACAGTTGGCAAATGAATTTCGTTTGCATTTAGCATCAAATATGCCATAACCGTGATACAGAAGTAAGATGATTGTGAAATGTTTTGAAAGATTAATGACAATAGATTAATTATCAGTTATATTTTGTTTATTGTTTTGCTTTTTAGAGAACAATATTTATTGTTGAAAATAGTTCCTACAAATATTCAATGATATGGTGAAAGGTGATTTCACATGTTTGTTTTAGGGTAAACATGGTGACGTGACATGAACAGTTACTGTTATGGTGTTTTAGTGTTCAATGCATCATATACAAACTTACATAGGTTGAAGGTGCATTTCATTTTTTTGTCCATTTACTATCAAAGGGTGAGAAATATTGCTTACTATTAATGTGATATTCTTGGGGCTTCGAAAAATTCATTTCAAAATTTCAGCTAATAGTATATATGTGTTCAACTTTCAATGCTATTTTAAAATTTCCAGCGTGCACATTTCCTTCAAAACTTCAATTCAAGATGAATTTATATTTTGCTAAATTGCAGCATATAGTCCTTGACTGTAGCATGTGTTGTTGTCAAATGAGGGGTTATTTTCTTTACTATCCAAAAGTAATGTCAGCCAGACAAGAGACACATGTGTGGGCTACACTTGGCAGAGTTGCTTCCCTTTGCATCAGGATCCACTGGTCATGTGTTCGAATCCCAGATTAGCCCTGATTATGGTTGTGGTTTGTCAGCACAATACCAAGGCTTGCCAAAGTGGCAGTTGTCTACAACCTGCACCGCTTGGACAATTATCTGATGTTAACGTGATATCCGTGGTGTACGATATGACTTGAATGTGTTTGTTACATGTAGATTACATGTCTGTGGGGTTGCAGGCTGTCACTGCCAGTCTTCCAGTGATGTAGTTCCATTTCTAAAACAAAGTGGATTCTTCTGTTGGCATTTGGATCGTATATATGCTATGAATTGCTTTTGTATTCTTAAGAATTATATTACTTTGTACAATAATCTGTACCAGCAAATACTGATATTTTCTTCTAGTAATTGCTCAAAAATGAATCAATATTCATATTCAATACTTCTTACATTGTCAATTAAAAGTAAGAAAGAATAATATGGAAAAGCCATATGGAAACTTACTGGAAAGGTGGGCGGTTGGGGTAGCCTTGTTGTTAAAGCATTCACTCGTCACGCCGAAGTCCCAGCTTCAACTCCCCACATGGGTACAATGTGTGAAGCCCATTTCTGGTGTCCACCTGCCGTGATGTTGCTCGAAAATTGCTAAAAGTGGTGTAAAAGTAAACTTATTCATACTGAAAAGGTGTGAGAATAATGTTGGTACAATGTAAGGTTTAACAATTAAGACGTCATCATTTGTCACCGGGAAGCAGTTGGTACCCTATTCACCATACAGCAAGGGTGTGCATATATTGAATTCCTTCTATTTGATGATGATATGAATACTATTTTTCTTGGATTGATGTGACTATTTAGTCTGATAGCTTATGTCGCTCACATTGCATATATCGGGTTTGGAAAATTCTTCATTTTATTATAGACTTTTATGCCAAAAGATACATAAATATGTTACATGTCTTTGGCATTACTGTAGTATAGGAGGGTGTAGCATAAAAAAATGTTGAAGGTTTTCTACATGTTCTTTCAGTGTCACATGGTAATTCTTAGTTGTTTCAATATACAGTTGTCATTGATATCATACAACATTGAAAAAGAATTTTTGGACATAACCGACACATTTTGCACCTCAGATTTTTCAATGGCCTTATGTTATAATGGAGGACTTCATCAACTTTCTATAGCAAGGTGATCTGAAAAATAGGCCTTTTCCAACTGAATATGCTTCAGCAGTTTTGCCTGTCTATAAGTCTCAGTAATGCAACTATTGGTCTTCTTGGCAAATCTGTTTGGTGTAGAAAACTGACGTGTCTTAACACATTGTTGACACACGGCACCTTAATCACTGTCATTCAGGGTAACATTTCCCTATTCCTCCTATTTCATCTTGTGTGGATTCCAGGTTAGAACATCAGTTATCTGTGTGCTGGAGAGATAAGTGGGATGGGTAGGCAACTTTGGTGAATTGGTTTATTATATATCATTGTACCCTAACAGCTCAGATCTTTGCTCATAGTATCAATCACTAGAGTATCTGGTATAGATGCAATTAGTTACAAGCCCCCATGTTAGAACTTAAATATTGCTGAGTGGTGGTAAACAACAAACAAGGAATACCTTTGATATTTTATCATGTGAACTATAAAACAGTCACTATAATTGTATTTATCACCTATAACCATGTGGTGTATTACATTTCATTGAAATATATTTCAAATCTTTCAATGCAAACATCATCCTGAGGTGTGAAGAACAAAAATATTGACAATGCTAATGAGACTGATATTATGGTTTTATTTTTTTCTTGTCATTGAGTATGCAAGATATATTGACCACAATATCAAGTCTGCTTTCTTATCTATGCTTTGTAAATGTTGATGTATGGCATGCTAATTTTATATTGCTGTATGTTATGTAAATTTTCTTACAAGACAGTGTACAGATTCCCAGTGTGTAAAACCAGTGTCAGTGTAAATATACACCTTGTAAAGCACAATGTGAATCAAGTCCACATTTCATTGACTGCCCTTTGTAGCAAATTATATATTCATATTCTAACTTATCAGAATTATGCGCATGGTTCATGTTTCAAGGTCATATGCTCAGTTCGTTGGCAAAAAATGTTGGTTTGACATCCATAATTTTGAAGTCACTTTGTCAGTGAGAAATCTTCATTGGCATGGAATTCTCACTGTATTGTCAATTAATTGTATTTCATGGAACCACAGGCTAATTGTAGCGCAAATAGGGTTGCACATCAGACAGAAAATGACCAGTCTTCCCATATGCGAGCGAAGCAAGCAAAGGTTGGCAACGTGCTTCCCTCGCTTCGGTTTGAAAAATATTTTTAGTGTCAAAATAAAATATCGCCATCATCAAAGGTTGACACCCATGTCCTCACAGAGTTGTGCTCTCAGATTTCCAACCTCATATTTAATAATTACTCACGTACAATATATTTAATTCAACATTTTAAGCCCCATTCGTGGCATGTCAAATTGTTCTTTTCCTCCATTACCCCTGCCAGCTTCCCGGTTCAACGGAGTGAAGGAACAGTGGAGTTAAATTTAAATATGCTTTCATCTACCCGTTACGCCAGTAGTGTTTCTGTAGAATAAATTTTGAAAATTCTAACAATAACGACGGCAGATAAGAAAAATAATCCCCAACAGTTTAACGGTAAAATTATACAATATGATATTTGTGTTTAATTTCTGCTTATTCTTGTTCCTTCACTCCGTTGAACCGGAAGCTGTCAGGGGTAATGGAGGCGAAGATTGATTTGACATGCCACAATTTGCACTTAAATTGTTGAATTAAATATATTGTATGTGAGTAATTATTAAATATGAGTATTAAAAATATTTTTCGAACCGAAGCGAGGGAAGCACGTTGCCAACCTTTGCCCGCTTCGCTCGCATATGGGAAGACTGGTCATTTTCTCTTTGTTGCACAACCCTATTTGCGCTACAATTTGCCTGTGATGGAACATAGCTGTTCACTATAATTTGTTCTTTAAGTCAGATTTAATTATATGACCCACTTCAAAATTCAGCCAGTGAAGATGGACTGTTTTTGCCTTGTTAATGTTTAAAGCATACTTCACTTTGGACCAAGACCTGTTTCCAGAGACTTGTAACAGCTTGTGTTCATTATGGCACAAGCTGCTTGTACTTTTTTCTGGAACAGGATGTACTATAAGGACATACACATGTCTAGTCCAGTGACAAGATTGACTTGAAGTGTTGTTAATGTCAGGCTTTCTTCTGTCATGTCATCGCAATGTGATCGGGCGGAGTTCAAATGCTCCATAGATATTGTGGAGTTTAATAAATTTTACAATCTGCATTTTGTTATGTTGTTGGTAACAACTTGAAGGACACCGATTCTGATGACCTACAACTTTTAAGGCTTCAGCAGCTACAGGCAATGAAGAAACGCACTGTTCTCATAATCTTTCCACTGGGGGAATGGGTAGAACTTGCAGAGTTGCATTTCTGAAGTGTGCATCAATCTTTTGGTGAATGGATAGGTCAATGCAAAGTGAATTTGGGTTGGCCTCTACCTGGTATGGAACAATAGCTGTTAAAATTCTTCAAAGGCATTTAGAAGTTGGTGGAGTAATACAAGACAAATGTTATGGATAAGAAGTTATTGATTTTTTTTTTCCCCCATGTTTCTGGGCTAGTTCTTGCCCCTTGATCCACCTGAAGAAGGGGCAAGAACTAGCCCAGAAACGTTATGAAAAATTTGTCTTGGAATAGCTGTTAACATCTACATTTACATTTACAAAGGTTGATGGGATATATAAACAGGCTCACATAACTTCAGACCCTTAGACCCTAGCCAGTGTCAAAACAGATCACCAGTACCCTCTGTTTGTCCGTATAGGTGACTTGTTCTGGTTAGGGTGATATGGTTGAATAACTTGTTTGAATGTTTCACATTGTACCATGATTCGATTGTTTACGTATTTATTTACGTGATATATCTGTTATTTTACTGACTAAAAAACAGTGTTAAATAACTGAACAACTATGTCGCGTACGGAACTCAATACTCCTAACCATATTCTATCCTTACGAAACCCAGCCAAAACCTGTAACCCTGAACTAAGTGATACGCTACATATTTCTATGTTTGAAATACAGGAACATATGTTGAAATATATATATATTTTAATGGTCGTGAATGTAGGACATGCTTCATTTAGTTTACAATTTTAAATGTATGACAAATCTATGCAGTTTATCTCATCTGATGTGTCTACCAGAATCGATCGTCTCCGTGGTGTAGTAGTGAGGCGTCCGCCCAGAGATCGAAATGTCGCGGGTTAAATCCCCGGCCGCGTCATACCAAAAGACGTTAAAATGTGCTTGTGGGTCCCTGCCTGGCGCTCGGCATTAATGGCTACGACAAGGACTGGTCGGCTCGGAGTGGTATCTCAGTGCGACATGGTATCTCAGTGAGCTAGCACGATAAAACCAAATCTGTTCTAGTACAAGCAGCCACACATACACACGCATGCACGCCGTTACATGAGCGAAATAATCTTAAGTACGACGTTAAACCCCATTTTACCTCACTTCACCTACCGGAATCCTGTATAATAATCTTCAAAAGCAAACATTATTATGCTTCAGACTGTTGAAGGTAAATGAATCACCAACCCCCAAATATTTGTTGCAAGGTGGTTTATATGAGAAGATGGTAAGGCTCAGTATTATTGAACAAGGCTATGGTGAGGGTGTATTCATTACTAGGTGTATATTGGGGACTCGCCTTTTATACTGCTTTTAACCATATACTGCCATTATGTGATTGATGACTGTGGAGGGGCGGTGCGGTAGCCTAGTGGTTGAAGCGTTGGCTCGCCACGCCGAAGACCCGGGTTCGATTCCCCACATTGGCACAATGTGTGAAGCCCATTTCTGGTGTCCCCCGCCGTGATATTGCTGGAATGTTGCTAAAAGCGGCGTAAAACTAAACTCAGTCAGTCAGTGATGACTGTGGTGTGTTATTATCATTCCGCCTGTCTGCCATTAGAACGTGAGATCGGTCGTTCAAGCACTTGCCGCAGCTTAGCAAAAGAATTTACAATGCTGAGCCATGAATTCACGCCATTTTGTAAGTGCAAGAATCATAACTGCCAAGTCAAACCACATTTCACCTCGCCTCACCACATAACGTTTCAATCTCAACCCAACATTATACCACAAGAACACCTAGATCGTGGTTATCTAAATAGGAACTAATATGTCCCCATTGCTTTGTATGCAGAGCTGTTTCAAAGTGAAATAACCACCGGTAATAAAATGTTAATGGTTCATTCGCATTAGAACATTGGTGATGATTGATTGAACGATCAATGTTCTGCGATAAAGCTCACGTCGACTAGGAAGGGTCACTTTAGCTGGTGGTGGGTATCAGAACCAAGCCATACACGACCGTTCACGTTTCATGAATGTGCTGACAACAATAATCAGCTCCATCCATTCCAAAACATTTCTGGACCAAACTCATGTTCGTTTTATGCGTTAAATGCAATCGTTTGACATGGTTATTAAGCCAGACATGTGTTTGCACGTTTCTTTGCAGACTACAGTACCATAAGTAAAGACAAGGATTACTCTGTTAGAATAATGATTTCAAATCAAAACGCAGTTCGACATACAACTGAGATGGTAAAAAGTTACCGAAACGCCACTTTTCTAACTTACATGAAAAAAAACAAACTATTTAATATTTGATTGATTAAATGCACGGCTAATTTTCAAGGGATTTTTTGTGTATAACAAACCAGTTTGTAGAGTTATAATGGTAAAGCTATATTCCAAGGTAGCCATTTAGAAACACTGTGACTGAAAGATGTATGTACAATACACAAATACACACACACATCCAGACACATATATATGTCAGTGTGTGTAAGTATATGTGTGTGTGTGTGTCTATGTTTGTACACAAGTACTATCTAATTTTAATGCTAATCATATTTCGTATTGTTTAACCAGATTTGCACGATCGTTCCACTAAAACTGGAAAAGTGAAGAATCTGGCAACTATTTAACTTAAATACCATAAAGATTTGTCTCACTTTCTTTTTTGGGGTGTCCAGTTCCATCTGTGCTTAGGACCTTAAATGTATCACTTTTTCGACCCGAATGACTTAAAGGAGAATACGAGTGAATTGAAATAATTTGCTGGGTGAAAGATAAAGTCATCAGAAACATATTCCCAAATTTTCAATTAAAAATTATGTATAATTATGTTTTAATCGCGAAAACAGTTTCTGTAAATCTCAGCTTCGGCCATTATGCATATTTCGCTGGAACCGACGTGACCTTTCCGCTCGTGACGTCAAAAGTGTCTGGAGTCCGCCATATTGTCAAAGACCAAGCGCTACAGTAGTACAAATCGTGTTGTTTCTGTCGTTTTTGTAAATGGTACGATGGTGTATTCTGTTGCCTGGGGATGCATGGAATCATTTCTTCCGTTTTCCAAATAAAGAGACAGACTTAGACAGGAGAAATGCTCCGATCATTCCAAGTCGGACGCATATGAAAGAGACAAGCACACATGGGGCATACAAATCCCAAAGCTAGGCTGAAGAAGGAAGAATTACCCACGAGATTCATTTATATTCCATCATTCCCTGTTACAGCTTACTGTCAGTGGTATTTTTAACATAAATTAAAACAAGTACGATTGCCAGTCGAATTACCCCCGCTGCAAATTGCCCCAGCAAATTTGGTCAAATTGCCCCGGGGTTTTGTCAAATTGCCCCAGGGGGTAGTTAAAATGCCCCGATTTATTTAAAATAATTAAATATAGGCCATGAATGCATATTTTTGTCAACTTTGATATTATGTTCTTCATATAAAAGTATATACATAGTTATGAGTTTACTGATGGAACATTTATCAGAAATATTACTTCTTAATAACTTTTATATGAAGAACATAATATCAAAGTTGTCAAAAACTATGCTGACTGACTGACTGAGTTTGGTTTTACGCCGCTTTTAGCAATATTCCAGCAATATCACGGCGGGGGGACACCAGAAATGGGATTCACTCATTGTACCTTGTGGGGATTCGAAACCGGGTTTTCGGCGTGAAGAGCGAACGCTTTAACCACTAGACTACCCCGACGCCCCCATAAACTATGCATTTACGGCATATATTTAATCATTTTAAATAAATTTGACCAAATTAGAACGAATGACCAAATTTGCTGGGGCATTTTGTAGCTGGGGCAGTTCCACTGGTACCCATGAGATATATGTTATCAAAATCAGTAAGAGATTTCACATGAGCTTGAAAATATTTCGCTATGACGTTCTTTTCGATTTGGAGCCCTAAATGCTGCAGACTACCCGAAACATTGCCGAATACAACGGCAAATCATGAAGTACTGGTTGCTTTCATTGTTTTCCATTTTGTGCAATTACGCACGTCGGCATCAGACTCGCTATTTCTCTGTAGTGTATGCCGTGAAAGTTGTTCTGTGTTCACATTGGTTGAAAGATGCCATTCTAAGGCTATGGCCGAGTACCATAACTTTTTCCGTAACCAAACACTGGGGAAACATACATTGTCCTGACAAGTATTTTATAATTCACCAGTTTTCGGGGAATAACTTATCTGCGTCGCGAATATTATCTCTGTTCGACCAGGCTGGGATTTTGTGTCCAGGCTGGGATTTTTGAGAATTGCTGCGTTATTAATGAGAACTAGGATCCTAATTTCTTTTCAACAAAATAACTCCAGTGTAATTTTTGTAGCAGATAATTTCTATTTTCCCCCGTCTGAAGCATAATTATTGTGTTTTTAAATCCCAGTCACCCATTTGACACAAAAGGAACTGCAATCACATTGCAAAAATATAATTCTTAGGGACTGGCCAAATACTTATAGGGGTGGGTTTGCTGGTTGGAACTGTATCACATTTTGCTGTCAAATAGTATTCTTGTTAAATGATATGGTTCATGTTTAAATTTATTTTGAACTCAAGCGGTGGCTCCGTTTCGCTTGATTCTTCTTCTTCATCTTCACTGGAAGATTGTAAAATCGCATCGTACTGATACGGTGTAACATCCATTTCAGAAATGACATCAGGAACACCTTTTACTGCTTCAGAATCCATGGACACTGTTAAGTTGTGAGGTAAAATCAAAGCGTCTGCCATCAGCAACAGGCACATATGACGTCATGTCACGTGATACCCCCTCTGCTCATTAACTGTCGGGTGTTTCCGTAAAAGGCGGAAGTACGAGTACGTTTTTTGTGGTTTTATTGCTATTTTACAAACTTTTGTTCAGTTTTAATCACGGAAGGTGACTTTTAGAATATCCTTTACAATATATCAAAAGTTTTGTTTTCGTTCGGATTCTCCTTTAAAAAGAGCTCTGCGATTATACCACTGGACCAATTGGGTAAATTGTGCAATGAAAACAAATCTACCACTGAACAGAATGTATCATGGCAACAAACCAGTGGTATCCACAGAACGGAAATATAGACGACATTAGACTTGAAAATATTTGTTAAACGTTTCAAAGCTAAAGGTCTCTCCAGAAAGATTATTTGAGAATAATGAAGTGGTATCAAAGCAGAAACGCGTGTGTTAACAGCGTGAAACATAATTTATATGAAGCGTGTAAGATGGGAAGAGAATAATTGTGCACATTCCAAACTGTCATTCTGCTGCACAGCCACTAATGAGGCTTTGTGTTGTCAGTGTATGTTTAGCCATTGAGATAAAAGACAATTTTAGTGACGACTGATGTAAATACCAGAACCATAGTTAACGGCTTCATAGCAATGACATGTTAATGTAAAACACTAAAATCAGTGAGAAGGTGTCAGCGCCTCCTGTCAAGCGTTTTTCCTCCTTTATCAAGGTGACACGCGTTGATTTTACTCAAATACTATTCACACTAGTGTTGAGCACTGACCCTGGCTTGTATCCTCACCCGGCAGTGCAGAGGCAGGTAGCTGAAATGATTCTCAAAAGTTTCATCTGCTTGTTAGCACTGACTGGCTTCAGTCGAGAGACCAGCATCAAGGAACAGAAAAGACTTCTTCATATTTTGCAAGATCACTATGAGCGGCAGGTTTTCCCAAGTGAAACCAGGATGGATATACATGTAAGCTTTTCGTTATCACAAATTACTGACCTCAATGAGTGGCAACAGTCCCTGACTACAAATGGATGGTTTACCTTTAAGTGGCTAGATGAATCACTGAAGTGGAACATTTCGGATTATGGAGGGATAGACAGGATCTGTATGTCAAGTGAAAAAATATGGATACCCGACATAACGCTCCTCAACACAGTAGAAGAGCGCAAACTGATGAACAATAAGAATGCGCCTGTGTGTGTAGATCATTCTGGAATGGTAAAGTGGGAACAAGGGGATCTCTACCGAAGTCAGTGTGACTTTGACATTTCCAATTTTCCATTTGACACTCAGAGCTGCCATCTAACTCTAACAACATGGGTGACCACGAACGAATCTGCTCGTTTCATATTTTCAATTGAGAAAAACGGCACTAATGTTACAACAAATGTGAATGGACTGTGGAAGATTGAAGCGTTATCATCTACTGCCATTGATGTCAAATTTCCTCAGCTCATTGTAACAACAAAACTTCAGCGTCGGGCGTCATATTATGTCCTCAATCTCATCGTCCCTGTCATGTTTCTCTCCCTTCTCAGCTCAGTGGTCTTTGCTCTGCCTATACAATATGGGGATAAAGTGTCTCTATCCATGACGGTTCTCCTTTCATTCAGTGTATTTCTGACTCAGATGAGCACCAACATGCCCAGGACATCCTTACAGACGTCCTACCTCACCATCTACATGACCCTGCTCCTCTCTCTCAGCTCCCTTGCTGTGGCTATATCAGTTCTCATCCTCAGGATCAATCAGAGAAGAGGAGATGTACCTGTGGTATTGCAGAAATATGTTGTATCTTCTAAACGTGCAATTAACAAACCGGTTTTGAATGCAGCGGGATCGGAAGTACAGGACACCACAGTTGACAATGAGGAAGAAAGGAATAGTAAAACACTGGTCACTTGGAAAGACGTATCTCTTGCACTTGACGATCTGTGTCTGAAATTATTCTTTCTGCTTAATGTTGGTTGTGGTATTGCTTTCTTTGCGCTTGTCATGTAATGTTTTGCCATTGTTGTATGGAATCTCAATGAACCACGTTTGTGGAAGTCAACCTACTAAACAGCGCTGATGTCATAGTCACGTGTTTCTTCATCTAATTTTACTGGCAATATGTGGACCAATCGTGAAAGACGATAACCTATGCAGAGCTTTGGCCATTCGGCATGCCAAAACTTGTGATCGTTGGCTCGGGGGTAAAAGTGAAACCTACATCACTTCCCCTCATAGACCTAATGTGCCATAATTTAACTGTCCCAAACGGTGTTATATCCGACTCACTCACTCAAATAAATCATTATCCTGAAAATGGATAAATTATTTTGAACCTTTTTGCGTGAGATTAAACATTAAGTTGATTAGTTTTTTTTCACAGACCTGGATCAGACACTGAATATGGTTTCTCATATGTTTCCCTGATTATCAATTGTAGTGGTTGATAGATGAAGTCAACATATTTTTTATGGTAATATTGTTAAAAGTAATTAGGTCGTTACTATATTTTCAATTGATGTTGAACTTTTTTGGCCAGATATATACATATACATCAACAACATCTCTTGGTATCTGAAGAATCCCGAGTAAAAGTACTTTCTTTGAAGTAAAAGCTCTGCTTTTGGGGAGTGAACTTTCTTGTTCAGTATGTCGTAAGGTTGTGTGTGTCGAAGCACACATACACAACTATCAGTTTTGATTTGGTGGACCCTCCAACAGCTCGTTTATTACATGGATACTTATTAAGATTTGGAATCCTGTTTAGATCTGGTTTGGATGTATTCGCTTGTGTTACAGAAATTGATTGATTACGTCGCTATATTCATGGTTGTCTCGTAGGGCTGTGTATTGGCAAATAAATTGTATTGCAATATATTGCGATTCAGGTACCCGTATTGCGATATATTGGGAACTTACATGTTTGACAGTAGCTGACAATAACTGTGCATATCAATTCTATTTTCTACATTACAAGTCCCTAAACATATATTGTATGGTACTGATAACAGAGGTTTCAAAATGACGTTGCATGGTCAGGGATTCTATTTTCATTTGTTACAATTTATAGTATTATAGTACGCCGTTTTGTCATTGAATAACGAACGAAGGAAAATATTTTTTGTGAATGAAAGTCTGTGTAGATTTTAATTTAAACCATAAAGATAATCAAAAACTTCATATATGTTCTTTTATCGTTTGAATAGCATATTGCGATAAACCTGTTTACCGGCAATACCGTGCAGTCCTATTGTATCGTATTTCCATTTCAGACTGGCATGTTCTGTTTATAATACATTGATATAGATACGTTTGCTGACAAATGAAAGTGATGTTTGACACTACGGCTGTGAGGACGAAATAGGTTTATTGTCTTATTTTGTTCACTGTCTGCCACACCGTCCAACATCATCCATGAAATATGTGGAAAACTTGTTGTTCAATACTTTGGATGCCAGGGTGGCCTGAACCTGAAAACGTTGCATCGTGTCAATTTTTAAAGTAACCAGCCCCCTTAACGTTGGCAAGAATGTTATGTATCATGTTTGATTTGCTGTAAATATCGGGTGTTATTTTTTGCGTTTGGTTGTGATACTTGCCACACATTACAGTCCGTTTGAGTCAGAAACGGACCGATGAATTGCAAATTTTATCATTGTACAAAATTGCCACATAAATATAAATAGTACACATGTTTATCATTTACTAATACCAACAGCTTTCTTATATTTGAAAATTTTCCGGACTCCACCAAACACGTTGTTTAAGAAACTGTCATCATTGAAAACGCAAACGTTGTTATCTGTTGCGGCGGGGTGAAACCGCAGAAACGGAACAGCCAGTCATGGCGGGGGGACATCTCAAAATCTATTCCGGGAGACCTGTCGGTTCCTCGTCTGTCGTAGTGTCATAGTCACGACTTAAAGGGATGACAAGTGGTGCCACAGGTGCCTGTTGTAAGCCATCCCGAGACCAGTAACCTTGTTCAATGACGTTAGCTACCTTGTTGACACAGTTTTGCCAAGTTTCAGTCGTGATTTTGTTAAGGGATTCCTTAACCAAAACCTCTACGTCACGTAATCTAAAAGTTGTGTTTGATCTGGCAACATCTCCTTTGACAATGCCCCATATCATATCAATGGGGTTAAGGTCACAGTGATAGGGTGGAAGTCGCAGAATATCGTGACCCTTATTTTTTATGTAACTGTCAACTTTGTAGAAAGGTTCACCTTTGTGGGATTTTATGATCTCAAATAGCTGAGGACTCGTTGCCTTTGAAGGCCGTGCGATCTGAAATATGTCGAGCCATGATATCATATCACCTTTTCGACTGTTCGATGTCGGGGCTTTACTGTCGGGGTCCTGCACGCTGTGGTATGGGGCATTGTCCATTACGATAAAAGACTTCTCTGGTAGAGCTGGTACCAACTTGTTGTTAACCCAATCGAGGAAAACCGAACCATTCATCTCGGAATGGTAGTCTCTGTTATCTGTGGACTTTGCCCTGAATACCAAGTCGCAGCCTGGGAGAAAGCCTTTGCTGGAGCAACCAGCATGGAGAATGATTAGTCTCTCTCCTTTCCCTAGAGGCAGCTTTCTACGTGACCCCTTATCACCCCCATCGGGTACCCACTGACTGCTGGCAGTGTGCGAGGCATTGACCCAGGTCTCGTCCAAGTACACTGGCTCGAACCCTTCCTCGCGCTTCTTCTTTATAACCCTGAGAAAATTATTTCTCAAGCGAACGATATCAGGGCGTTCACAGAGTACTGACCTATTCTCCCCCGAAATTTCTTATAACGATACCCGAAAGAGTGTAAGAGTCGCCAGAGTGTGTACTTTGATACTCTGAGGTTGTGTTCTTGCTTCAAATGCTTTTACAATTTTCAGCGACATGTATTTGTGTTTTTTTAGAATAGAGCTTGTTGATAGACTGCCTTGCAAGGTTCTTTTGAAAGTTGTCCAAATGTTTTAATTTGTGTGATTTTGACACGACCCCTACCTGCTTGGCATCACCCTCACAATGTTTGTGTTCCGGAACATTTGTCAGTACCCTTGCTGATACTCCTGAAGCTTTTGCTGCCCGCTTACGGAATTTATTAATGGCATACAATATGGTTTGCCCCTTTCGGCTTCAGCACGGAAAAAATCGTAAAATTTAAATAATCAACTGTTTCACGTCAGCATTCAACTTCAGGCATGTGTATCCCGTGCACGACGAGATAGTGGCTGTTCCGTTTCTGCGGTTTCACCCCGCCGCGACAGATAACAACTTTTGCGTTTTCAATGATGACTGTTTTTTAAACAACTTCTTTGGTGGAGTCCGGAAAATTTTCAAATATTAGAAAGCTGTTGGGTATTAGTAAATGATATACATGTGTACTACAGTGTATTTATATTTATGTTGCAGTTTTGTACAATGATAAAATATGCAATTCATCGGTCCGTTTCTGACTCAAATGGACTGTAAATAGTTATGAATATGAGCATCAATGTGAAATGTAATTAACATGCTGTGATGTTGTTTGTTGTTTAGTTAATATTTAGTCAGATAGCTTTTCTTGTATGATCTGTACATAACTCTATATAACATGATAAGAACACACTGCAAATGCTGAAGTTTGCGTCGTGATCATTAGACGTATATTCTGATGTACACCTATAGCATAATTATGTTATCCATATACTATTTGTAGCCTGATCATCATCGGACTATTGTATATATTCATTTACGACAGACGCAAATCGTGAATAGCCTCCACAGTTAGTCAGCCTGTTTTGTTCTCAGATTGTTGTCAACTGTGAATGAACAGGGTTATGGCACTTAGAGTGAAGATCCATCAGACCATTCTCCTGGACCTCAGAGAGACAACACGTCTCATGTCACTGAGCTTGCTGAGTTTGCTGATGGACTGTGTAAAGGTATGTCAACCCAAAAGTGGACGTTTGTAGAGAATTTCTGTGACGAGAAAATGATAATTCAATTGTGTAGATTCGAACACAGATGTGCCATAGAGGCCTCCTAACGCTGATTTAGCTTGATGGCCAGTCGTTATGACATTTATACCACCACTTTGCTCAGAAACATGTACATCGTCCGTCTTTACGCATATATATAACCAGTTTGTGATATATATAGTTTTCGACCTAATATTGTTCGTATGTTATTCGGTCTATACATCATGGGAATGCATGTGTGTTACTGTGCTTTGCTGATAGTAATTAAGGAATTAATGAAAATGGGTCACAGTTTAACAAGTTTATGTTTAATAGAAGCGACAAACCCTGTTCCACATCCATAAGAATTCTCTGCTAAAAGCAGAGTCAATTGTACACATGTGACTTCGCAAATATGACTCACTATCTTGAGTGTATCCACTGTTAATGGTTTCATTATGACTTTTTACACTGTGATACCTCATTGACAGTCCCTGTAGGGTACGTGAGGACATGCACTTCGCCAAAGTGGGTCCATGTATCACAGGCTAATATTACCTAAAAAGGGATGGGAGTAGAAGATATCTTCTTTGTTAAACTGATACTTGTAGGGACATGTACTTCGCCAGTGTGGGTCACAGGTGAATATTTATTAAAAAGGGAAGGGAGTAGAAGGCTTTAAACTGAAACTTCACGTTGTAAGCTTATTCGGTCATCGCTGTGACGAGTAATGTCATCAATGTGAATGTGGGGGATTTAAAGTGGACTGATTCACGCAAAATCATTTCGAGCATGGTGTCTTTGACAATAAATTAACCCAGACAGGGCTGGGCGGATGGGATCAGTCGACTTCAGTTCAGGACACCATCAGGAAATAAAGAGTTGTAGACCCGCACATGTTCTTTTGTTGTGCATCTTCACAAGAGAAAACCATCGTCAACCTAGGATACTTGTGTAGGACTGTGTCGTAATCCAGTTCAATTTGAATAAATTGCATAAACGTGTTGCGAATGCATGCCTCAACCTAAATATAATTCTATGTTGAATATAGATGCCAACCACGAACTCTGTGG